TGTCTTATGACCCCCAGTGCGGTACAAACGCTCTGCAAATAGAAGTTAAACTTCATTGTTCCGGGAACAGTGACAGGGAGAAAGCCTGCACATGTTCGATACAGATGCAAACAAACCTGGGGGGTGGTTTGTACTCGCTTGGCCAGCGCTCAGCCATGGAGCTGCATCCCCAGCCCTCAGCCCTCAGCCCTCAGCCGTGGGTTTTTATTTACTTTCTAGAGCCACGCCCCATGATGTCGCCCACGTGACCTGGTTTGTGCTGTTGGGAACTTGGGGTGGGGTCGAATCAGAATCTGGGGTGCAGGTGGCAGGGCGTGCCCGGGCTGTGTCCGCTGTCCCTGTCCATCTGTGTGTCTGCCATCCCGGCCTGGTTCTCCCCTCTGGCTCCGCTCTTGCGCACAGGTGTCTGCCCTCCGCGAGGACGTGGCCAGCTCAGGCTGAAGGGGGCCGTTAGGTTTGTAAGTTGTGCAAGGCCTGGCGTGTCCTCTGCTCCCGGGCGCGGCTTCCGCGGCCCCAGCTGCAGTTCCCGGGCCGGCCGAATCTCCTGTGTGCCGGGCAGCCCTGCGGAGGCAGCCTTGGCAGGGAGGGGTGGTCAGGCCCTGGCTTGTGCCGGACCCTGCCAAACGCCTGGCTCTCCTTTCTCACTCACGGACCCAGGCGCTTCTCACATCCGTTCCTGTCCTGTCCGGTCCTGTCCGGCTGCTCCGAGTTGCCTTCAAGAGCAACCATTTCTCCTGCCCACAACTTGGTTGTTTCTTTGGTTTCAGCTGTCCATGTGTCCGTATGTGTGTTGCTGGGAACAGACCCAGGGCTTTGCACATGCTCAGCAAGCGCTCTGCCACTGAGCTACACCCCGGCCCTTTTTATTTCATTTTAAGACAGGGTCTCACTAAGTTGCCCAGGCTGGCTTCAAACTCACAACCTCCTACTTCAGCCTCCCGTGTGCTGGGATGACAGGCGTGCACCATTACATCCGGCTCTTGAGGAATTTTTTCTTTTCCTGACTTTTTATTTGGGAATAACTTTACTAGGAACTGATTAAGCTCCCCTGGCTCCCCATTTTCTGTGTGTTCTCTCTCGGGCCCAGCACCCCCGCTGCACACAGTTCTGCTGCCTGCTTAGCTCTTGCAGTTTGGGGTGCCGCCTTGGGGCTTGCTGGTGGTCTGTGACCTGGGCTGGCTGGGGCAGAGCTCCTTGGCTGTTTGGTGCCAAATCTCCCACAAGTGTCTCCTGACATCTCAGGGTCACCATGAGACTGCATCCTGAGGGGCGGGAGCCTCAGCCCCAGGCCATGGGGTCCAGGCTTCCGGTGTCTGCCCCTCCTCAGCGGGTCAGGTTTCTCCCTGCAGGGGGAGTTATTGGTGTCCTGTGAAGAGATCCCCACAATATTTCCCCCTGGTTCTATGAAGTGGTGGAAATATATGGTGAATATTTAAGTGTGAAAAGTTTATTACAGCTGGGGATTTAGCTCAGTGGTTTTGCTGCTTGGCTTGAAAGCGCAAGGACTGGAGTTCGATCCCTGGTACCAAAAAAAAAAAAAAAGTTTATTACAGCACAAGATGCATAGCCAGGAGTCCCCTGGAGAACCTGGCTTCAAACACACTTGTGGGACGGCCTCTTTCGAACTGTCGCCGAAGTCCGCTTTACTGAGCATCTGCGAGGCTCGAAAAGAACTCAGTGGGCGCATCCAGAAAGGCACCTCCTAGAAACACCACAGTGTCCTCCCTCAGCCACCTTATGCACCAGATCTGGCACTGTGCAACTTTGGCTCGTCCCCAGAGTCACAGTGACCAGGAAATGTGAGCATTTTGAATCCATTCAGGACACCAAGGCAGCCAGGACAGCGCAGCTAGACACTCATGAAAGAGGATGCCAGAGGGGCTGCAGGAAGTGGCCAGGATGATGTTCAAAGTGCAGGGGGTGGAGCTGGGGTCTCCTACTGTGACACATAGCCATGTGTCTCTTAACATTCAGACATTCCATTGGGGATGGTGGTGCACACCTGTAATCCCAGTGCTTGGGAGGCTGAGGCAGGAGGATTGCCTTGAGCCGGAGGCCAGCCTGTGCTACACAGTGAGTTCAAGGCCAGCCTGAACTGCATAGTGAGACCCTGTCTCAAAAAACCAAAGAAACAAAAATGCAAACAAACAAAGAAACCCAAAACACCCAAACCTCCTGGCCTCGATTCCTGTATTCCTACTTATTAATGAAATCAAGTGTGTCTTTATAAATTTATTTGTTCTAAGAGTTTTGTACACGTGTGCTGAATGTTTTCCCTTTAAAATTTTTTTTTAAAATGATACTAGGAAGCTGGGTGTGGTGGCGAATTCCTTTAATCCTACACTCGGGAGGCTGAGGCAGGAGGATTGCTATGAGTTTGAGGCCACCCTGGACTACACAGCCAGAACCTGTTTCAAAAACTAAAAAGAAATTTATACCTTCAATGAATTTTTCTTTTCTTTTTTTTTGTATTCAATGTTTTTTATTTTTTTGGTACCAGGGATCAAACTTGGGACCTTGTGCTTACGAGGCAGGTGCCAGAACCACTGAGCTAAATCCCTGGCCCCTTTTTGTATTCAGTGTGTTTTTCAATCATCCCTTGTAGCATCCATCTGCCCATGGCTTTTTGTAAAATCTTTATTGGGCCAGGGATGTAGCTCAGTGGTGCTGCACCTGCCTGGCAATGCCAAGGTCCTGAGTTCAATTCCTGGCACCTCCAAAAAAGGAAAGAAAAATAATCTTTGTGTGTGTGTGTGTGTGTGTGTGTGTGTATATATATATTTTTTTTTTTCGGGGTTGAACCCAGGACCTGCACACTGAGCTATATCCCTGGCCCTTTTCTGAATTTTGACACAGGGTCTCACTAACTTAGCTTTTGCCCAGGCTGAGGCTTGAGTGTTGGTGTCGTAGGAGTACATCACCAAGCCCAACTCTCTCTAAGTTTTTATGACATTTATTTGCAGCTTTGTTTTCCTTGGCAGGGATGGGGATAAACCCAGAGGCTCACACATCCTGGGCCAGTGCTCTACCACCGTGCTCCATCCCCAGACCTTTTAAAATTTTATTTTGAAACAAGGTCTCACTAAGTTGCCTAGGCTGGCCTTGAACTTGCAGTCCTCCTGCCTCAGCTTCCTAAATCACTTGAGATTACAAGCATGTACCACCAGGCCAGCAATTCCATAGTTCCTTAAGGGACTGGGGAGTAGCTCAGGGGTGAACGCTTGCCTGGCATGCACGAGGCCCTGGGGTCCCACCCCAGCACCACATAAAAACAAACACACACAGATCTTCTATCCTGTGGTTCTGGCACTGGTGCTGAGCCCAGGCTCTGGAAAAAGTCAGGGTAGCAGGGCCAGGCTGAGCAGGTGGTTATCCCAGGCACGACATCCTGGCCCCTCCTAGCTTCCCCATGTGTCTCTTCTAAGGACACTCAGTTATTGGCTGGGATGGGCCCCCTAATCCACGATGACTGTTGCAAGAGCTTCACTCAGTGACACTGGCAAAGGCCCTTTTCCAAATGTCAGACTCGTGGTCCATGCCAGTCATCCCGGAACTTGGGAGGCTGAGCCAGGAGGATTGCAAGTTTGACCCCAGCCTGACCAACTTAGTGAGACCCTGTCTTACAGTTAGGGATCAAAAAGCGGTGTGGGAGGAGCTCAGTGTGAAGGCCCTGGGTACCACACAGAAAGGGGAGCAGGGGAAGAGTGAGGGTCCCAGAGGCCCCTTCTCCAGTGACCTAACTTCCACCTCCCAAGGGGCCTCCTGGCAGGCACCTTCCCAGGGCGCACTCCCTGGCCCTGCCCTTGACCTTCGTCTTGCCCTGTGGAGCAGGGAGCCCGCAGGAACGCGCAGCAGGCGACATTGCCTGCTGACCACAAGCCAGCTCCTCCGACACCCTCGGCTGGGCCTCGTGTCTCTGGCCCCCGTTCACCCGCTGCTGAGACAGCAGTTGGCTGAAGCCTTCCTCAGGACGACCTCGGTACAGAGGGCACCACCTTGCAGACCTGGGCACCTTCCACACCAGGCACTGGCAATCTAGTGCCATGCACACCTGTGTGTCCAATCCCAGGGCACTGCCGGCATCCAGTGTTGGCTGGCATTGAGTGGTGTGTGCACTGGGGACAGGGTGGGGTAAGACAGACCCAGGGCATGCCCCGGGGCTGAAAGGCAGCCAGCAGCTGGTCTGTAGCACCTGCTTGCTGTTTGAGAGGTTTTATTTATTTTTTTGGTTCTCTTTGCGACAGGGTCTCCCTGTGTAGCCCAGGCTGGCCTCAGACTTTCAGTCCTCCTGCCTCAGCCTTGCAGATGCTGGGATGACAAGCGTGTGCTGCCGTGTCCAGCTGTTTTCTTAGGATATTATACTCTGGCGTGGATGCCCTGGGAGTGGCTCTGTGCATCCTTCTAGTTCATTTTAAGTTTTTAGACATTTTACTTATTTTTAGTTTTGGGTGCTGGCAGCCGAGCCCAGAGCCTCATGTCTGCTGGGCCCTGCTCTGCCACTGAACTGCGCCCAGCCTGCTCGCTGGACGCTTGAAGTGTGGGTCCAGGGACCTGGAGAGTTTGCTCCGGTGCTGTGTCCCCTTTCCTCTGGGTCTCTAGGCCAGGAGGCCAAGCTGCTCAGGGGCTCAGCAGGGAGAGTCAGCGAGGGTCCCCCGGGGGCCCCCAATCTGGCCAGGTGGTGACAGATGCCTCCCCAGACCTCAGCCCCGGCCATGCTGCCAAAGACACGGTAGACGTCCAGCCCGTCCCACATCCACCACCTACAGCGGTGTCTGCCCTGCTGGTACCAGGTTAGAAACACGGCTGTCATGGTCAGGTGCGAGAAGTGACAGGAACGGCCTGTGTAGGTGAGGCAGCCGGCCGCCTGGCACAGTGGCATCAGCTTGGCAAGGGTGTCTCTGCCCAACAGGGAGGCCAAAGCCAGGCCAGGCTGGTGACCCCAAGTGGCCTGGCAGGGGAGGTGGTGCCCAGGGTCCCAGCTCACAACCCCTCTCCCCCAGGACGGAGGCGCCGCCCTGCAGGAGCCGCCCGGCATGGGTAGTGGAGTGAAGGAAGCCTCCGTGCGCCTGCGCGAGGACGCCGACGCCATCCTGCCCTCCCCCAAGGCAAGTCCCCGCCTGCCTGCCTGCCCTGTACCCCTGCATCCTTGGCACCCAGCATGCGCATTTTCACCTCCACTCCGCGCTGGCCGCCCCAACACCACACGGTCATGGAGTGGGGGATACTAGCCGCCCTCTTCCATCAAAAGCCCCACGGTGACATGAATCCAGACATCGGGCAAGAAGGCAAAGACCCCTGTGGTCCCAGCACTCAGGAGGCTGAGACAGGAGGATCACAAGTTTGGACCCAGCCGGGACAACTTAGTGACTCAGCAATATTCTGTCTGAAGACAAAAAAAAATTTTTTTCAAAGTGCTGAGGATGTAGCTCGGTTCAGAGGCCTTGAGTTCCATCCCCAGTACTAGGAAAAACAAAACAGGTGTCCTGTTCACTGAGGGGCCAGGACACCCGCCCCCAGGTTCCTTGGCGGGACTGGAAACACAGGCCCGCCCAGCCCCACAGCCCCACACCAGGGCTGGAGCGCAGCCCCACCCGCCCTGCCCTCCGGCAGCTGGCAAAGTCCAGGAATCAAAGGCTGAGCCAGTGTCATCCTCCGGCTCCTCGCCTTTCACCCGGTTCCTGATGGCACCTGGGGCAGCGGGGAGGGAGGGGAAGGCACAGTGGCCTGGGGAGGCCCCCTTTGGGCAGCAGTGTCCACTTAGAGGCCTGCACAGCAGGATGTAGAGATGGTGTGGCCACAGCCTTCAAGCTGCTCAACAGGGGGCAGGGCCTGCAGGACGCACATGCAGCCATTGTCCCCTGACTGGGAAGGCTGAGGCAGGAGGATCACTTGAGCCAGAGAGCCCACAGAGCACCACCTAGTGTTAAAAAAAGAATCTGAGCGTCTTTCGTGTTTGGGGCCAGCTTGGGAGCCACAAGTAGGTCACCATGACCGACAGCTACTGAAGTGGCCCCCTCTGCTCACCTGAGCTGCACCACCCCAGCGAAAACTGCAGTCACTGAGGAGCTGAAGCAATGCCTGAAGGAGGCAGCTGCCACCATCATGAGGTTGCCTCACCACTCATTCCCAGCAGGGCTGGCAGCTGCCTCGGGATAAAGGTCAGGAACACTGTGTTCCTGACCCACAGTTCGAAACCTGCATGCCCGGCACCTGCCAACACTCAGGGAAGGGATGTCATCTCATCCCAGCACTCCGGGAGGCTGAGGCAGGAGGATGACAAGTTTGAGCCCAGGCTATGTAACTAGGTAACTTAGCAAGACCCTATTTCAAAATTTAAATGGGGGGGGGCGGACATGGTGGCACACACCTGTGATCTCAACACTCGGGAGGCTGAGGCAGGAAGATCGCCAGGAGTTCAAGGCCAGCCTGGACTACGTAGTGAGACCCCGTCTCAAAGAAAAACAATACAAAAAAGCCAGCTGGGTTGTAGCTCAGTGTGAAGGCCTTGGGTTCAGTCCCCATTACTGAAACAACAAAGAACAGGGCCATGCTGACAGTCAGGTCTGCTCTCCTGCCACCCCTGCTCAGCCCCAGACCTCAGAGCCCCTTGGGCTTGGCTGTGAAATGTCTCAGTGGCACAGTCGGGCACGTGGGGTGGGCAGGAGCCAAGATTCTCCCGTGTGGGGTTGGTGGCCTCTCCCATCTGGTTTACACTCCCGGTTGTGGACCAGGAGCCTGAGGTGTGGCCGACAGAGGCCAGGGATGGACACCAGCGTCACCAGGGGCGCTGGCCGCGTCCTGGCATGCCCGGGACCAGCAGGACTACACCACTGACTGTCCCCACCCTGTGCTGACCCTACCCCGTCTCCTGCAGAGTGACCACCGGCAAGTGCTGAGCTCGCTGCTGTCCGGTGCCCTGGCCGGCGCGCTTGCCAAGACAGCGGTAGCCCCCCTGGACCGGACCAAGATCATCTTCCAAGGTACATGCTTGTCCTCTGTCCCTGCACAGAGAAGCTGCCACCCCACACACAGCCCCAGCGCCTCCATAAACTGTACTTGGAACCTCTGTCCTGCGGCTGCTGGCCCTAAGTGCGGTGAACCAGGCAGCCTGGTTCTGCCCCACCCCCCCGGGAGGGCCCTTCCTGCTGCTTCCAGCCTGGGGCTGGGGGGCCGGGTGGTCTGGGCTGGTGGCCACGTCTCTCCGAGAGGCTGTCTCCAAATGAAGTTCCCTTCGTGGGCACTGGGCTGATGCCATGGACATGACTTGGGAGGGGCTGCAGTTCAACCCCGAGCAGAAACCCTCTGGGGCCCTGTCTGTACCTAAACACTGTCAGCATCATGACGCCTCAGCCTGCTGCCACGGTCACCACTTCCGGTCCGGGGTCAGGCAGAGGACATCACAGGGCAGGCTGCAGACTCGAACCAGGGCCCCTGCATCGCCTCGACCAGTCCTCTGACCTCACTGAGCCTCATCTGTCAAATGGGGGCGCTATGGGCGCGGGAGAGGCAGGAGCTCCCTAGCCGCGAGGTGGGACCCACCGGCTTGGGAGCCAGGGCTGCGGCGCGTGCCCCCTGGTGGCTGGTGGCTGCAACCTTCCCCGCAGGTACAGGAAAGTCCAGGCAGGGTTTGGGGTGCTGAGTGTGGATCCCCCAGAGATCTGGCCTCACACAGCCCCTGCTGGAGACCCGAGCCGCCCTGGGGGTGCTGGGTATTGGCTCCATCCCCTCCCTGGGGACAAGGCTGGGGGTGGAGGAGGAAGAGGAGGTCGTGCTGGGGGTTCCCGAGCCACCCCCACGGCGCTGCCGCCAGACCTCGGTACTGTGGGGCACAGACGGGGGCTCCGTCTGTCTCAGAGTCCCTCTCATGGTTTGTTTGTGGTTTCTTCTTCTTCTTCTCTTTCCTCCAGTGTCTTCAAAAAGGTTCTCTGCCAAGGTGAGCTGCTGGGTCGGGCCTGGGCCTGGGCGGCGGGGAGGAGGGAGGGTGACAGCAAAGCTGCTTTTCCCTTCGGCCCCACCCCTGCTCCCAGAGCAGGCGTCCCCTGGACTTCGGGGACATGCAGCCTGGCCTTCCACCAGGGAATCCATGAGCGGTCCTAACACGTCCCTGGGGGTTGGGGGGCTGACAGTTCTAAACCCTGGTCTTCGTGTGTAATTTACTGTCAAATACAGCCAGGTGCTATCGGCTAAAGAACTCTGTTCCTTCTTTGGTACTGGGGATGGGACCCAGGGCCTTTGCACTAAGCTGCATCCACAGGCCTTTTTTTTTTCTTTCCATTTTTATTTTATTCACTAAGTTGCCCAGGCTGGCCTTCAACTCCTGATCCTCCTGCCTCAGCCTCCTAGAGTGCTGTGCGCTCTACCAGACACCAACAGAATGCCGTGTGCAGAGCTCCTGCCCGCCTGGCAAACCTGGCTTGGGGCGCTCGCTGGGAGGGTCCAGGGTCACAGGGTCTGGGAGGGACCCAGCGCGGGAGGCAAGCTGGTCGGAAACGGGTGGAAGGATGACCTCCTCCTCCCCGCAGGAGGCCTTCCGGCTGCTCTACTTCACCTACCTCAACGAGGGCTTCCTCAGCCTCTGGCGCGGGAACTCGGCCACCATGGTGCGCGTGGTGCCCTACGCCGCGATCCAGTTCAGCGCGCACGAGGAGTACAAGCGCATCCTGGGCAGCTACTACGGCTTCCGCGGAGAGTGAGCGCCCCCCCACCCCGGCAGGGCTCCCCCAACAGGGCCCGCCCTTCTCCCCAACTTCAGGGGCGGGGTGGCGGGACATGCCCCGCCCTCTCGTTGGGCCACGCCCCCACCGGGACTCCAGATCCTGAAGGCCCCGCCCCCCAGCCCCAACACCCAGGCTGTGGGCTGCTGTCCCCCAGGCCTTAGGGAGAATATGCGCTTATGTAACAAGGCCGGGGGAGGAGCCCTGAGCCCTGGGACCCTCAGTCACCCTCCGGGGAGACCTCGCCCACTGCGGGGGGCAGCGCGGGCTGGAATGGGGGTGCATCCGTCCGAGCGGGGCTTCTGCGCACCCCAGCGCCCTGGTCTCCTCTCCCCGCCCAGGGCCCTGCCCCCGTGGCCTCGCCTCCTCGCGGGCGCACTGGCGGGAACCACGGCCGCTTCGCTCACCTACCCCCTGGACCTGGTCCGAGCCAGGATGGCGGTGACCCCGAAGGAAATGTGAGTCCTGCGAGGGCGGGGTCAAGGCCTCTGCGCCTGGGGCAGAGGAGGCTGCTGAGATCTGCGCCCCGACCCCACCTGGCCCCGCGGGCAGGCCTGGTATGCCTACTCCGGGCCTCTGTGCCCCCAGCCCCCCCACAGCCTTGGCTTCGAGCAAACCGAGGGTCTCCTTCTTGAGTTGGGCACAGATCCACTAAAAAAGGAGTAAGAAGAAAAGCCAGGCGGAGTGGCGCACACCTGGGAGGCTGAGGCAAGAGGATTCCAAGTTCAGATCCTCCCTAGATAACTTCGCAAGACCTTGCCTCAAAATAAATGAAAGGGGCTGAGGATGTGGCTCAGAGGGAGAGTGCCCCTGGGTTTGAGCCACCAAAAAAAAAGCATGGAAGCCAGACCCAGGCCCAGCTACTCCAGGAGTTGCCAGGAGTTAGCGAGTGGGTCGCTGCTTCCACCCGCTCAGCCCGCTGTCTCAGCAGGTACGGCAACATCTTCCATGTCTTTGCCCGCATCTCGCGAGAAGAGGGGCTGAAGACCCTGTACCATGGCTTCACACCCACCGTGCTGGGCGTTGTTCCGTACGCCGGGCTCAGCTTCTTCACCTACGAGACGCTGAAGAGCCTGCACCGAGGTGAGGAGTGGCCTTGGGGCCAGCGCCCAGCCAGGGCCACCGGATCTGGAGCCCCAGGGTCAGATCAAGAGAAGATACACTAGAGCCAGGGATTTAGCTCAGTGGTTTTACTGCCTGCTGCACAAGTGCAAGGACACAAGTTCAATCCCTGTACGCCCCCCCCCCAAAAAAAGTTGAAAAAAAAAAAAAAAAAAAAAGAGAAGATACACTGCCCAGCCAGTGCTGGGGAGCCCTCTTCCAGCCTTAAAGGGCCTTTGGGGTGGGGGTTTTGTTTGGTTGTTTTTCTTGGCATTTTGAGACAGGGTCTCGCTGTGTAGTCCAGGCTGGCCTGGATCTTGCAATCCTCCTGCCTCAGCCTCTGAGTAGCCAGTATTGCAGTCAACACCACTGAACTTGGGCTTCATGCTGCATTTGAACAGCGACTTTGTAAAGGCCAGGGTGTCCCTAGAGCTCCGGTGGGCTCTTCCCCTCTGTGCACATGGGAAACCTTTAGTCTGCCTCATTTTTCTCGGTTCTTTGGGAGAGAACCTAAAATACCAGAAAGCACAAACTCTGACCGCCCATGTGAACAGGGTCGTATTTTGCCCTATTGGCCCTGTTGTTAGAGAACTGAAGTGTCTCGGGTAAAGTCAGTGCTGGGGGTCCCCTGGCTGCTCCTCTCCCTCCTGGGGGTGTGTCCTTAGGGTTTCCTTGGGAAACAGTGGCCACTCGGTTCTGTGGGGCTCTGTTTCCAGCCCTCCACGGTACCCCAGTCCCTGCATACCTAACTTGAGCTACAGCTGGCACCGAGTGGCTGTGTGGAGCTGCTTAGGGAGTGAGTCTGCACAGAAGTAAGTCTCCAGACCTTCAGAACCTGGGCAGTACTTTTAAAAATGTTTTCATTTAAAAAAAAAATATTTTCATTCTGTGGTCAGTGGACTCTGGTTTCACTTTCTGGAACAATAACTTTTGTTTTGTTTTGGCGCTGCTGGGGATGGAACCCAGGGCCCCACGAAGCTATGCCCACAGCCCCAGTAAGGTATTTTGAGAGAAACCATATTCACATAACTTTTATCACAGCATTTTGTTATAGTTCTGCTTATAATCCGTTATTGTGAATCTCTTCCTGTGCCTACTTTATACATTAAGCCTTATCATAAGGATGTATGTATAAGGGAAAACCCTATCATATTGCTGGGTGTGGTGGCAGCCCTTGGGAGGCTGAGGCAGGAGGATCCCAAGTACAAGGGCAGCCTGGGCAATTTAATGACCTTGCGTGACCCTGTCTCAAAAAACAAAAATAGGGCTGGAGGTGTAGCTCAGTACACAGTCCTTGGGCTTACCGCCCCCCCCCATATATCTGCATACGATTTGTTACTATCCATGGTTCCAGGTGTCCGTGGGTGTCTTGGGATATGTCCCTAAGGATACCCGGGGGGTCTCCTGCGCAAGTCCCATGAGTGCAGGTTTGTCACGGTTCGCCTTGATGAAAGTGCCTGGTGCCGGGCCGAGGTGTGGCTCAGTGAGGGCTGGCCTAGCGTGTGTGCCGTCCTTCCGGGCTTCCGTCCCCTGCCCGCTGAGGACATGGGCCCTGGGGGCGGGCACGCGGGCAGGAGGTGCCTGTGCAGGCGCATGTGCCCCGCCACGCCCTCTGGCGGCCGCTCACGCCCTCGCTCCTCGCCCGCAGAGTACGGTGGCGGCCGGCAGCCCTACCCCTTGGAGCGCATGATCTTCGGGGCCTGCGCGGGTCTCATCGGCCAGTCGGCCTCGTACCCGCTGGACGTGGTGCGGCGGCGCATGCAGACAGCCGGTGTCACGGGCCACACGCACGGCTCCATCCTGAGCACGCTGCAAGCCATCGTGCGCGAGGAGGGTGCGGTGCGCGGCCTCTACAAGGGACTGAGCATGAACTGGCTCAAGGGCCCCATCGCTGTGGGTATCAGCTTCACCACCTTCGACCTCATGCAGATCCTGCTGCGGCACCTGCGGAGCTAGGGACCGCTCAGTGCTGGAGCCCGCAGCCCCAGGGCGGAGTGGCCCGGAGTGCCAAGTGGTGTTGAGCGCATGCTGCCCGGGCACTGCCTCTCCCGGAGGTGTCGCCCTAGGCCCTGAGCCTGGGCTGGCACTGTGGCCTTTGAGATGCTGCTGATACTGGTGAGCCTGCACTGGGCGTGAAGCCTGCCTGTTCCTCCTCACCCTGACCCCGCGCGGGCCTGGCCGCCGGCCCCCCCAGGACAGCACAAGCCCCGCCCCGCCTGCCCCACCTTTGCAGCCTCTTCCCGGTGACAGCCCTGGTCCCCAAGCCTTCTCCCTGCTGAGAGCGGGGCCTCCTCATGGTCTAGTTTGTCCCTCCCCAGGAGGGGACCTCAGTGGCACTGCTGCTCGGGTCTGACCCCCACCTGGGGTGCTGCAGAACCGAACCACCCGTGGGTCCCCCGGGCCCTGCTTGAGTGGGCTCCTGCCGCAACTCGGAGCAGCTTAAGGTTCCCAAGAGGCGGTTTGAGCCCCATGAACGGAGGTCCCTGGTGGCCTTGACCATCCTGGGGTGGGAGCCCCCCAGTAGTGGGGTGGGGAGCATGTAACGTTCAGGGGGGCCCCAGCCAGCCCATCCTGGGGAAGTCCCAGGCCCTTCAGGTACCACAAGGAGCCCTTTCCTAAGGACGTCTGACTCTGTTGGCTTTGGTTGTGACTTCGTGAGCCCTGGGTCTGGCCCCCAAGGCTGCTGGGTGCCATCCTGCCCGGCCTGGGTGCCCTGGAAGGTCCTCGGAGCCAGGGGTCTGAGCAGTGGGCTGGTCCTGCGTGCACCTGCACCCAGACCTCCCTCCACAGTCCTGGGCCCTTCCTGGCTGCCCAGTGGCTGAGACCCCTTCAGTGCTGCTTGCATGTGTCCACCGCTGCCTGTCTCAGCTCCAGCCTGTCCCGAGGGGCCCAGGCAGTGGGGTGTCACCCACTCCTGGCCCGGCCCAGACTGGCCGGGAGGGACAGGGTACCATGGGCCGGGGACCGTGGCCCTGGAAGGTGAGGGTGCGGGAGCCGGGCCACCCCAGGCAGGTGACACCAGGCCGGTGGGCGGCAGTGCCCTGCCCTCCCTTGGGCCTCAGGGTGGGCAGGAGAGAGGAGCCCTGCAGGGTCCCCAGGACCTGCAGGCCCGTGTGCCTTCCTCAGGTGGCTCCCTGTGGCCACCCCTCCGCTGGTCACTGGGCCTGGTCTGGAGTTGTATTTTGATGCCATGAAGACACTTTGTTTATATATAATGTTTATATTTTAAAGGTTTGTGCCAAGAGAGTATATTTAATAAAAACCTAGATGACTTCTCCTGCTCAGGGCTCTTCTTGGGCTTGGCCATGAACCCCCACCATGGGGACACCACTTACACACAGTAGCTGCTCCTTTATTCCTAAAAGCAGCGGCCACTCAAGGTTGCACGCCCACTTGGGGACAAGGGTGTTGGCCCCCGAGCTAGGGAGCTAGTCTCCAGGGACCCACAAGGGCCCATGCACCGCGCTGAGGACTTCCAGCCCCTTCCTGCTGCTGGGGACACTGAGCCCCGCAGTGCCAACCTGTTGCTTTGGCCGGACCAGGCTTCAGGGCCCCACCAGGGCCGGTGGCACGACTAGCAGGCTGCCAGGTGCTGGTGGAAGTAGAGGCCGAAGAGGCTGGAGACGAGCTGGCAGGCGGCCGTCCACCAGATGAAGAAGGCCAGGACGCCGCGGAGCAGCAGGGGCGTCAACAGGCCGCGCAGGGCAGCTGCGATGCCCGCCGCTGTGCGCTGCGCCTCGTCCTCCCCGGAGCCAACAGGGCCAGTGCTGGCTGAGGACGGAGCCCCCGACAGCGGGGGTGCTGGGCCGAGGCCCCATGAGTAGCAACCTGCCGGAGGGGGTGGGGCGCTGGTGGGCACACACTGGAAGGGTCGACCTGGGGGAATCCCTGGAGAGTCCCCTGCTTCCAGCCGGGCCCCGCCCTCCTGGCCCCACCCACGCCCAGGTCCCGCCCCTCACCCAGCGACTTGAGCAGCAGTGTGCAGTTGAGCGTCAGGATGAGCGGTGTCAGGTACTGCAGGCTCACAACCGTCACGTAGCAGTAGACCCGGACCACCTGGTGGGCAGGGAGCCGTGGTGGCTGTGCTGGGGGCCCCTCCCCGTGCAGGGTGACCGCGCCCCCGCTACCTGGACCGTACCCGCTGCTGGATCTCCCGCGCCTCGACGTGGCCGGCCTCCTTGCGAAGCTGCTCCACGCGCGCCTTGGCCAGGCACAGATAGGCCTGCAGGTGGGGCCGGGTCACTGCCAGCCGCAGAAGGCACAGCACCACCAGCACCCAGAGGCGCAGCGAGTCGAAGGCTGAGTCTGACAGCCTGCACGGAGGGGGCGAAGGCGCGAGAGGAGGTGGTCAAGGGGTCCACAGCAGGCCTCCCGGGTGCCCCGCCCCCAGACCCACCCCACGCACAGGGCCAAGGGCGACTCCCCAGCGGCCCCCTGGTGGAGGAAGTCCCGCGCGATGGGCTTGGTCCAGAGCCACAGGACACACAGCGGAGACAGGAAGCTGGTGTGCAGGAGGAGCCTGGGGTGGCGACAGCGGGGTGAGGCCTGGAGTCCCACGGTCCCCAGCCTCTCCCGAGCCCCCCACACCGGGTGCCCCACGTAACTGCAGCAGGGGCCGGTCCTCCGCCATGGTCAGGGCGTCGCGGTGGGTCTGGGCTAGCCGCAGGCCGGGGAAGGTGAGGAAGGCTCCCAGCACGGAGCCCGCCACCGCCAGCCCCACGCGGATGGCCAGTGTGGACACGGGGAGCCTGAGGACAGAGCAGCCAAGAGTGAGCCCCAGCCCGGGGCGCCCGGGGAAGCCCGCGTCCGGCCCCTGCCCGCGCCCAGGACTCACACCCAGTCCCATCCCTGGGGCTTCAGGAGCGGCTGCAGGTTCCGGGTCACACTGGCCAGGCCTGGGCAGAGAGGGGGGACAGAAGAGAGCGTGGGTTGGGTCTCCAAGCCGTTTCCACACCCTCCCCATGTCCTGCTCAAGTGGTAGCCAGGCCTGTGCAGGCACCCAGTCAGCTCGGGGCGGGACACGGAAGCCAGGGCCTCACGCACACCCGGGAAATGCTCACCACTGAGCCGCACCCAGCCCTGCAGAGACAACTGTGCCCATCGTGCAGGGCTCTTTTCAAGAAACAGAATATATGGTTTTGCCACCTGCTGCACAAGCACAAGGACCCGAGTTTGATCCCCAGTACCAAAAAAAAAAAAAGAAAGAAAGAAAGAAACAGAATATAGCCAGGTGTGGTAACGCACATCTGTGATCCCAGCACTTAGGAGGCTGTGGCAGGAGAATTGCCTGAGTTAAAGGCCAGGCTGGGCCACATAGACCTTGTCTCAAAAAAAAAACAAAACCTGGGCCAGGGATTTAGCTCAGTGGTGCCACCGCCTGCCTCGCAAGCGCGAGGTCCTGAGTTCGATCCCTGGTACCAAGAAAAAAATAACACCCTAAAATATAAATAAACTATAAGGGCTGGTAATGTGGATTTTATTTTATTTTATGGGGGGCGTTGGTACTGGGGATCAAACTCAGGACCTTTTGCTTTTGAGGCTGGCAGTGGCACCACTGAGCTAAATCCCGGCCCTCATAGTGTGGATTTTAAAGAAGGGGGCCTCAAGGCTGGGACAGATGGAAGTGGCCTGTGTGAAGAACCCTGGGTGTGGAGAGGGCGCTCGATGGGGATCAGGCCTCATGAGCCCTTGGAGTTCCTGTGGACACTTTGTCCACGCTGGACGAAGGCACTGCCACTCAGCACCCCTGTCAGCGTGCCTGAGTGACTAGCCAAGCCCCACACACCTGGCTCTAGGCCCAGCTCCAGCGTGTCCTCCCGAACCACCTGCACCAGCATGGCCAGCAGGAGGAAGATGAAGGCGAAGGTGAGACACACAGCGCGCTCACCGCCCTGCACGCTGAAGTACAGCCGGGTCACTGTCACGAACACCTTGCTGGTGCAGCTAAGGACTAAGCTGCCATCCCTTCATGAACCCAGGTCACAGAGACTGCACAGTTGCTTCAGGGTGGCCTGGACATTGGGCCCGGGGCCCCAGATAGTGTGCGCTTGGGTGTTTATTCATGGGGAGGTCACCAGGATCCTGGGGCCAGTTAGTCACCACTACTGTGTGGCTAGGGTATAGCACAGTGGCGAGTGATTGCCTGGCATGTGGGAGGCCCTGGGCTCCATCTCTACCAACTCAAACACCAAAACAAGGGCCGAGGATTTGGCTCAGTGGTTTAGCTGCCTGCTGCGCAAGGACCAGAGTTCGACTGGTGGTACCAAAAAAAAAAAAAGGTTTCAACTTTAAGGCCGGGGATTTAGCTCAGTGGTGCCACTGCCTGCCTCCCAAGCACAAGGCCAGAGTTCGATCCCCCGTACCAAAACAAAAAAAACCCCACCAAAACGAAAATAAAATAAGGAAGAAAAAAAGATCCAGGTATGGTGGTGGTGCACACCTGTCATCCCAGCACTCTGGGAGGCTGAGGCAGGAGAATCCCATGTTCAAGCCTAGTTTGGGTAACTTAGTGAGACCCTAGGTCTAAATAAAAAATAAAAAGGGCTGGGGGATGTGGCTCTGTGCTAGGATCCCCTGCCCACCCCAGGGGCCAGGATGCAGGATACATGGAGAAGGCCACGGTGAGCAGGCACCAGAACACTGCGATGTTGGCTTCCCGCGGGCCCAGCAGGTAGAAGTAGCCCTCGGTGAAGAGGTACACGCCAGCCGCGTATGCCGCGAAGTCCACGAACCACTGGTACTCCAGGAAGAAGCGCAGGACTGTGGGAGCGCACGCTCAACCCACCTGCTGTCCCCTCCCGGGCGTTCCTGCCCCGGGCCCCCCTGGGGTGGTGACCATGGGCCCAGGGAGGGATGTTTGAGGCCAGGAACCGGGTTACCTAGGGCATCCACGGGGGTGAGGGGACAGGTCTCCAGGTGGAATGGGGCGTCCCGGGGCACCAGGAGTGGCTTCTCACCGAGGCCGTTGGCCCACCTGGGGGCATGGGGACAAAGGGGTGTGAGTGGGGAGCCACCTAGGAAGGACCTTCACTCAGCACTGGCTCCTTGCTGCCCTGGGGTGGGGACCGGCAGGTGGCCCAGAGCCTCTGGCTGTGGCCTGCAGGTTCCCTTGCACCTGGAAGCATGGGAAAGGGCATGTCCTGTGGGGCAGGGTCACTCACCGCTCCCGCCGGCCTTGAGGCCTCTGTTTCCCAGCCAGAGCTCGAAGCTCCTCCTCGGATGGGTGCTTGTAGCGGAAAAGACTGAAGGCAAAGATGGGGGGGGGCAGGATGGCGCTGGCGGGGGGGGCGACCCCACACCCGGGCGCTGGAGCTGGAGCCCTGGGCCAGGGAGACCCCCCTTCCAGGCCCTGGGGGTGGCTGGGGCTGGCACAAGGAAGGGAAATTTGGGGATCCACTCCCAGTGCTCTCAGGGGTCCTGGGCACCCCTGAATCTTTGAGAGAATTCAGTTTCCATCACATTCCCCAGAAAGGGGCAAAAGGAGAAGGCTGGAGCTCAAGAAGGCTGGAAGACTGGGGACACAGGGACATGCGTGTGGCGGTGGCTAATCCCTGGGGTCGCGCCCTTCAAAGATTCAGTGTACTGAGTTTCAAAAATAGCCCTCGTTTGGCAGGGTGTGGTGGTGCACGCCTGTGATCCCAGCACTCTTGAGGCTGAGGCAGAAGGATCACCGGGAGTTCAAGGCCAGCCCCGGCTACATAGTGAATTCAAGAGCAGCCTGAACTGCATAGGGAGGCCCTGTCTCCAAAAAAAAAATACCCCTAGTGCTGGGGATTTAGCTCAGTGGTGCTGACGTCTGTCTCGCAAGCGCAAGGTCCCGAGTTTGATCCCCGGTACCCCCCCCCAATGCCCCTAGTTTGGGGGTAGGCGGGTGGGGCTCTGGGGAACCAAGAGGCGTGGCTTTTCTGGCTCCTCCCACTGTGGGCGGGGCTCTAGGGGACCAAGAGGGGCGGCTCTCCTTGGCTCCTCCCGCTATGGGCGTGTCCTGGGTTGCAGGCGGGGCTCACCTGCCATTGCAGAGCAGCCAGCGTGCGAAGGAGCAGTGGGGCGCCAGCCTGTGCATGAGGGTGGCCGTGAACAGCGTCACCACCAGCTGCACGCCGAGGACCGCCTAGCGGAGGGGACAGGACGGTCAGTGCGCGCCAGGCCGCTGGAATCCGGGCTATTTATAGAGAAGCCAGACGGAGGGGGAGGGCAGCCTCCCTGGCTAGCGGCATCTTAGGGAGGGGGCCTGGGGTGAGACCTCTCCCGCACCTGGCAGAGGCCAGGACCCAGCGGCTCTCCGCAGCTCCCCGGGGAGCTGGGGAGCGGGAGGGGGCTGGCTTCACCCCCAGCCTCGGCCTCGGATTTCAGGCATCAACCCATTGAGGCTCCGCTTTCTCATCTGGAAATGGGGCGTTGCCTCCTGTGCTTCCCGTATGCCTCACAACCATCTTCCCGCCCCACCAGGGTCTCCCACCTTAAATTATCCTCGAGGGCCCAGGCCCTCTTTCCATCTCCTTCCATTTGTGAACTGCCTCCTTGGGGCGCCATCTACACTTTGGGCCACTACCTGGTTCAATATAAAGCCTTACACTTTTTATTTTGTTTTTTAGTTTAGTTTGGTTTGGTTTTTAGACAGGATCTCGCTGGCCTCGAACTTGCAACGATCCTCCTGCCTCAGGCTCCTGAGTGCTGGGAAGACAGACAGCGCCACCATGCTCTGGATTGTTTTGTTTTGTGTTCTGAGACAGGGTCCAGCTGTGTAGTGCAGGCTGGCCTGTAGTTCAGGCAGGCCTTGAAATCGCAGCAATCCTCCTGCCTCAGCCTCCGCGCCTGGCTCAAGTTCTGCACAGTATCAACCTTTTAGGCACTAATGTAGAACGCATTCATCCACCTATCAGTTGTAAGCTGAAGCTGGCGTTTTCTGCTTGAATGCACTAAATACCAATTTGGTCCCAGTAATTATGTAATTATGGAAAATTACGCGCTCTGGAGAGCCGTCTACTATTCTGATACTACAATCAACCACTTAAATGAAAAAACACTACTTCAATATTAATATTAATTTATGATTTTAAAATAACCCTTTAATCAGGCAAAATATGCTAAATTTATTTTTCGTTCTCGACCTTCTATGGCTTCAGGAAAAAATACTCTAGATTTAATAGGAAAAAGTCATTCAGAACGACTGCTGAGAAATCCATCATTAAAATCCCCGGCTTAGCCCGGCGTGTGTGGAGGCCCTGGCTTAGATTCCACCAACAAAACAAAGCAACAACGTGGGGCTGGGAGCGGCTCAGGGTGAGAGCGTGGGCTGAACATGCAGGGCGCCCTGGGTTCCATCCCGAGACCCCCCCAAGAAAACAATTTAAAAATAAGAAACGGAAAAAAAAAAAAAAAAAGAAGAAAAAAGAAATGGTCTAAAGGGCATTTTGTCTGTGCCTGTACCAGGTAAACTCAGTACTTAAATGAGGCCCGGGCCCAACTTCCGCGTGGCAGGAGGCCCCACCCACCCCAGCGCTGAGGGGCCTGCGCCCAAGGAGAACTGAGGGCGGGGATCCAAGGCGAGTGGGCGGGGACTCTCCGAGGCCACGCCCCGGGACCGCCCTCTCCGCTCTTCTAGCCCCCTACTCCCATCAGGCGCTGTGCAAACATCAGGACTTGAGGCGCCCCAGCCAGCGTCCCCCCTGGGAGACCCCATTTTCCGCCAGAGTTGTATCCACAGATGACCCCAGCAGAGCAGCACCTCTTGCCGGGGAGACCCTGTACCCTGCCATCGTCCCCAGAATCCTGATTTCAGCCGTCCCAGTCTCAAGATGAACCCCTAATTCTCTGCAGCCCCCAAGGAGGGGACCCTTCTCGCCCATCCCGGTTCTCCTAGGACCGAAGGAGCCGAGGAGGGGAAGGAGGCCGCCTCCTCCACTAAGGCTTCCCGGGTGGCGCAGGTCGGTTGCTCCTGCCCCGCACTCGGCTCCCCGGGGTCCTGGATCTGCCGCCGCCTTCCATTCGTCCACCCCTAGAGCCCTTTCCCCGGTTCAGGGTCCTCGAACACAAGACTGCTGAAAATCAGGGTCCTTTTCTCCATCGCCCCTAGAGTGTGGTCGACTGTAACCACGTCCTGCCTCCAACAACGTTCCCTTCAGCCCCGCCCCAATACCCCTGCAAGGGTCCCCCAGCAGGACCAGCACGCTCTTGACCCCAAGTCTCCTTCCGTCCCGGCGCACCAGCCTGCCCCCGAAGCCGCCCAACCCCGAGGCCTGGCTGCATCTCTCGGGGTCCTCCTGCCCCTGACATACGCCCCTATGGCTCCAGGAACCCCCGATGGACCCTTGTCCCCAGTCCATCCCCGCGGGCTCCAAACGGGCACGAGTCCCCAGTCCCTTCTCTGGGGCTGTGCAGCCTCCACGTCCCTAAAGCGCCCCCCAGAGGCTTGCAAGAACCCCCCGGAGAGCTGGGTGTAAGGGCGCACACCTGTCACCCCAGCACCCGGAGGCTGATGCAGGAGGATAGCCGCGAGTTCCAGGCCAGCCTGGGCTACACAGCGAGGTCTTGTCTCAAACCCCCTCAAAAAACTAAAAATAAAAAAGGACCCCAGAAGGCTCAAGGGCTTCCGGTCCCCGGCGGGCTCCCAAGAGGACTCCCCAGAACGCCCCCCAGTGACACCCGTACCCCCAAAGAAGGCAGCACGGCCCTTGGCACGACCCTGCCTCCCTCAGAGCCTTCAATTCCCGCGAAGGGGCCCTTTCCCCTCGGTGTCTCCCTGCATCCCGCCGCGGAACCTCTAGTGCCTCGGGACACTTGCTCACCATGTCTCGGTGGGGAACACAGTGCGTGAACTTGGCTACAGGCACCGCCCACAGCCAAAAATGGCCAATCAGAGCCGATTCTTGGCTGATGAACAGCACATGCAACCAATAAACTGGCCTAGAACTGTCCAATCCCAAGGTGGTCGCTCGCACTGCATACCGGAAGATGTAGTTCTGACGCGCTGGATTGAGCTCAGATCCCGGCTGCAGTATGGACTGTCCCTGGGACGCCTGTGTGGGCAACCTTGAACCACGGAAACCTCCAAATATACCTCTCTTCCTTGAGGTGTGGATGTCGAATATTTTGTCCTAGCCACGGTAAGGCGATTAATATACTGGGATTACAGGCATTCGCCACCACGTATGGCTTTGGACACCGCATCAGAGATTTAACTTCTCTGTACTTTGGTCTTCCCAACCGGAATGGGGAACACGAGCTTATTTTATTTTGAGACAGTCTCATTAAGTTGCCCAGTCTGGCCTCAAGCTTGTCATCCTTCTGCCTCAGCCTCCCGACTAGCTGGAACACAGACTTGTGCTGCCACCGTAGGCTTTACATAAGTTTTATTACAGCACATTGCTACAGGTGCTTTATCATTGCTGTTCATCTTACTGTGCCCGACTGAGGAATTAAACTCTACCCTAGGTCTCATGTCCAGGGGAAACAGCCTCAGTAGGTTTGCAGCACCCACTGCGGTTCTGGAAATGGGGCCCTCTCATAGAAAGGGCTACACTGTCCAGTGTCTCTGGTCTACCCTGGGCCTACCTGTGCCCGGGTCCACACGGAGCAGCCCTTGGTTTCTGTTCTCCTTTGGACAAACCATATTCTCTATCCTACACTGGGGATCCTATCCCCTTGATTGCGTTAGTTGGCTTTTGGCCACTGTGACAAAATACCTGAGATCATGAGTTTAGGAAGCCAAGGGCTCATTCTGGCTCATGATTAGGAGGTGTCAGTCCTTGGTCACTCGACCCTGTGGCACTGCCGGACCTCATGGCCTGACCAGGTAGCAAGGAAGCTGCTCACCCCAGGAAGTGGAGAAAAATTGAGAACTGGAGTGGCTGGGTCCTAATATACCCTCCAAGGCCACGCCCCGAAGATCTCACCATCTCCTGCTAGGCTCCTCCTTTTAAAGGCACCACCTCAGCACAGGTCTTTAGTGGTGACATTGGCCCTGGCATAGAGGGCTGCTGTGTCCTTGTCTGTGGGTGTCCTGGAATGGCTTGGAGGGGGTTCGCTGCCACACAACACCCCTCTTTGCTCTCCTTTCCTTTCCTCCTGCCTCAGCCTCCCAAGCGCTGGGGTTATAGGTGCGTGCCACCATGCCTGGTTTTTATTTCTATTTTTTACATGTGGGAAATGTAATGTGTCACCCAGGTCACAACATAAGATATTTTTAACTTTTGGCAGGAGGTCACTGAATTCAAAGCTCAACCTCAGGGGTCACCTCCAGGCAGGTGGAGAAAGTGGAGCTTCCCTGGGTCTGAGAAACAATCCCATGGCCCCAGGCTTGGAAAACTGCTGATCTCTCTCTCTCTGCGTGTGTGTGTGTGTGTGTGTGTGTGTGTGTGTGTGTGTGTGTGTGAGTCAGGGTCTCCCTGTGCTTCTCAGGCTGGTCTAGAGCTTTTAGGCTCCATTGATCCTCCTCCCTCAGCCTAGAGTGCTGGAATTAAACACATACCTCACCTCACCTCTCATTTTATTATTATTCTTTTTGAGACAGGGTCTCACTATGTACCCAGGCTGGCCTTGAACTTGCAGCGATCCTCCTGCTTCAGCCTCTGAGTGCTGGGATGCCAGGCGCGTGACACCACGCCCCACCAAAGCCTGCATTGTGAAGGAGTTTGCCCTGTGCACTTAGCCTGGGGGCACTGACTCCAGGGAACTGCCAGCTTCCTGTCCTCTGTGTGACTGAGAACCAGACGCTAGGAAGGAGCTCCCACCAGGTGCGCCTCAGTTTCCCCCAGGGCACTTGCTGCCATGGACAAACCATGCCACCGTGGCCCCCTCCACCTCAGTCTGGTTCTCTGAGACGCTGTGGTGTGACACCGTAGGAGGCCACTGGGTGGCCAGGGCTCGTGGTGGCAGGGTCCCCAGGATGGCCAGTGGCGGTGGGCCAGTGTCCACGGTGCAGGCTGTGAGCCCCCCGTCCCGGCGTGGGCACAGAGTCTTCCTGCCTCCCTCACCCTGCCTCCCGCGTCTCCAGCCTGCCACTCCTACCTGGGCCGGCCCGGGTCCCCGGAGGCAGGACATTTCCATCACACCCTGCCCCCCCAAAACCAGACCCCTAACCCCTCGATGGGAACCAACTGCCAGGACCTGGTGCAGGGTCTCACAGGGGCTGCCCCAGACTCTCCATTATTTTTATTTATTTCTGTATTTTGAGACAGGGTCTCGTGCTTGTCACCTGGCCCCGGGTGGGCCCCCAGGCTGCCCTGCGTTCCTCCAGGCGCAATCAGGGGACCCAGAGACCACAAGACGACACAAGGCAACAAAGGGGGCACTGGGAGGGCCCAGGACCCCGCGTGTTTTATTGGTGAAGCGCAAATGGGGAGGGGAGAGGAGCCCCACGCAGGCAGGCATCCCCCCAGCCCCACTGCAGGTGTCCTCAACACGGGGTCCCCAGCACCCCGCACACTACCGCGGCCAACCGTCGGCAGGGGGCAGGCGGCGCAGTGGCCCGGGCCGCAGGAGCAGCGGGAACGGGAAGGACTTGGGGGCGTCGCCAGGGCCCCCCGGGGCAGGTGACAGGCGCTCCGACTTGACGCTGACAGGAGGCGGGGAGGCTCCCCCCTCTCCCAGGCTGCGTACCCCGCTGCGGGAGAAATGGGAAGCTGTGAGTGAGGATGGGAAGAGCAGGACAGACCTGTCATCTCAGCACTCGGGAGGCTGAAGCAGGAGGATCTCCACCAGTTCGAGGCCAGGCTGGACTACATAGTGAGCTCAAGGCCAGCCCGAACTACCTAGCAAGACCCTGTCTCAAAAAAATCAATAAAAAAAGAAAAAAGAAGAGGGGGTGTCCTATCTTTCTGGAGCCCCCTCAAACAGCCGCCCACCGACCCACCACCGGGCGGGAGGGGCTGGGTGCAGTGCCAGCATTGGCCACCAAGGGGCAGCAGTGGCCAGAGACGGGAGGGCCGGGAGGCCGGGGTGGGGGAAGCCGGCTACTCACCCTGGCTGGGCAGGGATGGCCGGGGGTCCGTTCCCCCTCGGCGCCTGCCAGGGGACCAGGGCGGGGGGCTGCAGCAGGCCAGGGGGCGGCGGGGGGTCCCCCAGGCTGTATTCTGGGGGCAGGAGGGCAGCAGAGTTGGGGGCACCTCCCTGCCCGCCCGGGCCCAGCCCGACCCCCACGGACCCCGCGGCGGTAGGGTGGGACGCTGCCCAGGCGGAGCGCGGGGTACCTGGGAGGAACGGGAAGCCCCCCAGGGGGGGTCCCGGGGTGCCCGTGGCGCTCGGGCTCTGCAGGCTTCCGTAGAGGCTTCTCTGTGGGGACGGCAGGAGGGAAACTGAGGCTGCGCCCCGGCCCCGCCCGGCCTCTCACCCCACACGGCCCCGGCCCCACACTCACCGAGGCGCTCAGCCCCGCTCGGGCCCCGGCCAGGCCCCCAGGCAGATCCGGCCGCCGCCCGTCCGCGGCCAGGTACAGGGGGGGCGGCGTCTTGCTGGACAGGTGGCTCGGCGAGAAGAGGGGCTGTCCCAGGGCTGGGGGGACCCCAAGAGAGGGCAGCGGTCGCGTCCTGCAGGCCAGGCTGCGGGTCAGGGGTGACGCGTGGCCCTGACTCCCCACCCCACACTCACCTGGGGGCCCGGCTTTGGGGGCGGCTGGTCGGAAGGGAGACGGCCGGCTGTGGGCCGGCAGGGCCTCCCCAAGTCCGCTGGGGTCACAGCCTGGAGGCGGCAGAGCCCCATACACCATGTCCGGGCTGGGTATGGTGGGGGTGGCTGGCTGTGGGCAGAGAGGTGGGGTGGGCGGGAAGATGGCACTGAGGAGGCTGCCTGGGGAGTGTGATGGGTTGAAGCCATAAGGAGGGACTCTCTCCCTGTTGAACTCTTACCCATCCTTCAAAGCCCCAACTATAGTGCCCATTCCTTCAGGAAGCCTCCCCTTTCCATCCGGGCTGAACTCCAGCCTCCCAGGGCCCAGGTTCTTCTCAGCCCTCGCTGCCACCGTGTGGGCCTGGGAGGTACCAGGAGGACCCCATTTAGAGGGAGGCGGGATCACTTACATAGAGCCTCGGTCGGGGCAGGGTGGGGTCGCCTCCGTCCCCTGCCAGCCTCCGCAGCTTCTCTCCGGGTCCCTCAGCGCCTTCCTCTGGCTCCAGTCCGTCGAGGCCCACACCCCTCCGCTTCAATGTCTGAGGGACAGGAAGTAATGGGCAGGCGCTCAGCCCTTACGGTGCTGGCCAGGGAGCCCCGTGGCACAGGAAGAAGGCAGAGCTGGGGTGCGGTGGAGTGCAGGCCCTGCTGGCTCCAGCGGCCTCCCAGACGGAGCCCGGAGAGGCCACCTGGTGTGTCCCTGCTGTGTTTGAGGCCAAGGCCGAGGCCCGCGACGCGCCCCAGCCTGGCTCAGACCCCCGGCCACTGCCAGGCCACACGGGCCCCTCACTCTGCCCGAGTGTAGTTGCTTCCTCCCTTCCTTTTTGAACCGGGCTCTTGCACTGAGCTGCACCCCAGCCCTTTTTACTTTGGATTTCAAGACAGGGTCTCACTAGGTCCCTAAATTGTCCAGGCTGAGACCCTCCCGCCTCAGCCTCTGGAGCCGGAGCCACCGGCCGGCTCCGCGTCCCTCCCCCGGCCCGGCCGCACCTCCAGGATGTCGGCGTTGGTGCGGCTCTCGTGCGGCTCGCTGTACTCGGTGTACTTGAGCAGCACGCGGTCCATGTCGGTGCTGGCGTACTGGAAGAGGCGACTGGCGCTGTTGAAGATGATGAGCGCGATCTCACAGTCACACAGCACGCTCAGCTCGTAGGCCTTCTTCATCAGCCCGAACTTCCGCTTGGTGAAGGTCACCTGGACTCGAGGGTCACGGGGCAGAGTGAGAAAGGACTCCATGATCATGCTCCTCGACTTGGCCTTGGGATGCGCTCTTTTTTTCTGGGGCACTAGTGTGGTTCATTCTCAAACTCCTATTCATCCTTCAAAACCCAAATGATCTTGCCCCTTTGGGAAGGTTTCCCTGGCCTCCCAAGCAGAGCCCACACTTTCTCTCTGGGCTTCCCCAGCTCTAGCCTCCCCCTGGCCCAGCCAGCTACGTGGGGTGCAGCAATGTCAAGCTCAGTCTCTTCTAAGCTGGGGCCCCAGTTCTCAGGGAGAAGAGATAAGTAAGTGACCATGAACATGAGCAGAACTCGCTCTCAGCAGGGCACCGAGGCTCGCCAGAGCCCACACCTACCTGCCGGTTCCTCTGGTCCAGGATACGTGAGATCTGGATTTTCTTCCTCCCCATGGTCCCGGCCAAGCGCGATTGGATCTGGGGACAGAGCAGGGGCAGAGTGGGCTGGGAGGGCAGACACCTGGGCCCTGGGCAGACCCCAACAGGCTGGCCACGCGCGCCTGGATTCAGGCCACAGTCTCCCCATCTGGGTAGGGGTGCGGCTGACCCATGGGGGGCATTCAGACGTGCCGGGCCCTGGGCAGCAGAAACGCGAGCTCTGTTGCAGGCAGCAGCATCAGCCCAGTCCACAGGAAAAGAAAACAATTCTGCTTCGAGACAGGGTCGTACTGTGTAGCTCAGGCTGTCCTTGAACTCATGGCGATCTTCCTGCCTCAGCCTCCCAAGTGCTGGGGTTGCAGGGGTGCGCCACCACGCCTGGCATGCCCATTTTTAATTATCTGAATTTTCTAGCTTTCCCCCCTCAGTGATTATAGATCAGTCTTGTTTAAAAGATGTTTCTTTCTGTGCTGGCAGCAGAACCCAGGCCTCCCAAATGCTAAGCAAGCATGGACCTCAGAGCTGTGCCCAGCGGCCCTGGACACGTACCAGGAGGTCACCGGGACACCGGAGGGGCCTTGGGTCGGGCCCTCGGGTGGAGACCTGGGTCTGGGGGTCGCAGAGGGGGTGGCCAATGGCCACCAGGGACACAGCAGGGCCTGGCGGGGCCCAGATCGGAGTCTGTCACCTGCACCGAGCCACACCGCTTGCCTGGCCGCCAGATGTACAGCCGGACGCAGTCCCCGGGCCCACGGGGACAGCCCCTCCGCCAGGCGTGTGACCATGCTGCAGACACAGGTGTCTGAGCCCTGGGCTGAGCAGTCTCCCAGGCAGCACAGGCTGTCCTACGCTCCCACCAGCCCGCAGCAGGGCAGCCACCCTCTGTGCCTCAGTTTACCACAGGTCACACAGCCCTGCGGCAGGTCACAGATCCTGCCAAGCACTTGCCACTGGGCCTAGCAATGAGCTCTTAGGAAATTCAGAGCTAGGCACGTCTGTGATCTAAAGTAGTCAGGAGGCTGAGGCAGGAGGATCACAAATTTCAGCCCACCCCGGGCAACTCAGCAAGATCCTGTCCCAAAATAAAAAATAAAAAGATCTGGGGATGGAGCTGCAAAGGCCCTGGGTCCCAGCCCCAGTACCGCAAAAATAATTAATATAATAATAATAAAATCAGATCCTAGCCAGGTGCAGTGACGGGCGCTTATAGTCCCAGCTACTCAGGAGGCTGAGGCAGGAGGATCCCTTGAGCCCAGGAGTTCGAGGACAGTCTGAGCGGCATAGCAAGATACTGAGACTGCATTTTGAAAGGAAAGGAAAGAAACACAGACCCTCTGGGAGGGGCGGGTGGGGGGCTGGGTCCCCCTGTTACTGCTGTCCCAGCCGAATCACTCGCTGAATTTAACCTCTGAGCTGATTTTACTCCTGGCTGGAGTGAGTCCGGTTCCCATGGCTGGGAAGTGTCATCCGCACCCCACAGGTCCCGGGAGGGCCCCCAGCCAGGCCGACTCCGGAAACACCCGCTGCCTGGGGCTCCAGAGGGCAGGGCTGGGCAGGGGCTTGGAGCCACGGCCTCCTGGGTTGTGGAGGTGTGTGGGTGTGGCCCAGTGGGGAGCTGCTTCCCCGGCATGGGGCCCACACCTGTGATCCCTGTGCTTGGAAGGCTGGGGCAGGAGGATCTCGGGTTCAAGGCTGGTCTGGGCTACATAGCAAGGACCCCCTCCCCCCCCGCAACTCTAAGTATAAAATAAGAAGGGCTGGGGTGGCGCTCAGTGCCAAGGCCCTGGTCCGGCTCCGTTAGCATCCACAGCCTGGGCCAGGAAGTCGGGGTCTCTGTGGTGAGCCCCGAGTGGAGACAGAACGTGAGATCGGCCAGGGGAAGCGGTACAAGGGCCAGAGGAGGAGGAGCAGCTGTGCCGCTCCGGGCCCTCGCTGCAGGCAGGGTGTGGGTTCGGGTCTCGTGTAAAACAGGACAGGGTTTGATTTCTTCTTGCATTTTATTGAGACTGGGCTGCTCTGCTTCCCAGGAAGCCCTCCTGCTTCAGCCTCCTGACTAACAGAAGCTGGGACCCTAGGGGTGCGATGTATCATCTACTTTAAGAATTTTTTTTTGCATTGATTGACATCCCCAGCCCTATTTCTAATATTATTTTCCTCTTTTTAATATTTTATTCTGAGACAGGGTCTTGCCATGTTGCTAAGTTGCCCAGGTTGAGCTGGAATGTGTGATCCTCCTGCCTCAGCCTCCCAAGGGCCAGGGTCACAGGCGTGGGCCACCGGGCCAGGCTGGTCTATCACCTTCAAACCCAGGCCCTGGCTGTCATGGGAAGCAGAACGTTGTGGACCGCTGGGGCCTTGCAGGGCTGGGCCCCCAGAGCCGGCCTGGGCCCCAATCGGAGTCACTGCTCCCGGGCCCCTGGGGTCTCCTGCCATCTTCGGTCAGGCCTGATGGGTGTAGACAGCGACTCTCCTGCCTGCACAGCCACTAACCTGCAGCCCCCTGAGAGTTTACCCAGCTCGTGGCTCTGACTGTGGACCACAGTGCCCACTGTCCTCGGGAGAGAGTCCCAGCCTCCGGCCTGACATAAGCTTCTGCCCACCTCCCTCTCTGTTCAACAAATATTTCCCCCCAGAAACCCTTTTGGGCCCTTCTTTACCTTGCCAACTCCTATTCATACTTCAAAACCCAGCTCAAAAACCCCATTTCTCCAGGAAGCCCTCCCTGCCATCCTCATCCTCCTGCTTCAGTTCTGGCCCCTGAGGCAGGGGACAAGCACACTCTGCTTTGTCTCAGGGGTGACCATGACACCCCCCCAGCTTCCCTCAACAACTTCCTCTTCGTCCCCCAGCTGAGAGCCTACCCAGAATACTCCATGCAAATGCAGCCACCCAGCACGGGCCGGCCGCCCAGGTGTGAGGGCGCCCTGGGTGTGAGGCGGTGGGCACGGGTGCGAGTATATTTGTCTCCCATGCAAATCGCACCCGAGCCGCAGACACCAGGGGCCAGGCCCCAGCTGTGGGTGCTGGGAACCGCTGGGGGCTGCGCGGCACGAGGGGAAGCTGAGGTTGGGGCCCCATTGCCATCCCTCCCCCCGGGCGCAGCCACCGCCAGGACAGAGCAGGAGGAGGGATGGGGTCACCCGGGGTCCAGGGGACAGACAGGGCCGCAGAGAGCCCGGAACCTCTGCACCCGCTTTCCCCCCGGCCCTTAGTGCTGTGCACCGGCCATGTGTCTGCAGGGCCTGAGCACAGAGAGTGCCAGGAACCAGCGGCAGCGGCACACAGCGACCGGCAGCGGGCTCGGTGCTGCAGCCTGCGGTCACAGCACTCTGGAGGCTGTGGCAGGAGGGTCCCAAGTTCCAGCCCAGCCTGGGCAACTTAGCAAGACCTCATCTCAAAATGAAAAGTGAAGAGGGTGGGATACAGCTCAGTGCGAAGGCCCTGGGTTCCATCCCCAGTCCCGAAAAGAATCCCTGAAGGTGCAGGGCACCATGGAACACCTAGGGCTGAGGGAACCCGGGGGTGGGGATGTCCCCCCATCCAAGCTCGGGGACACAGTGCACCCAGCGTGGGCAGTGTGGTCACGCAGTCCTCCAGCCACCTGTGCATTGTTCTTAGCACAATTTCTCTTAACCAAAGACATGTATTTATTTCTTTATTTTAATTGTTTTTTTGAGACAGGGTCTCACTATGCAGTTCAGGCTGGCCTTGAACTCACTATGTAGGCCACTGTGTGGCCTCAAACTTGTGGCAATCCTCCTGCCTCAGTCTCTGAGTGCTGGGATTACAGGGAGCTTCACCACAACCTGCTCGAGCAAAAGGTTTTTTGATACCGGGGATCGAACTCTGGCAAAAGGTGTCTTAAGGCTGGGTGTGCAGCTCCGTCATGAGCACTTCTCATACCCACAGCTGCTGTGGGGACCAAGGTCTGTCCAGGCAGGACAGGCTCATCAATTGGGGACAGAGGAGACCGGATGAGCCTCACGCATGTGCTTGGGTCAAGGCAGGAGCTGAGGGCCAGGCCTGAGCCATGTGTGTTGAACCGTGTGTGTGTGTGTGTGTGTGTGTGTGTGTGTGTGTGTGTGTGTGTGGTGCAGAGCAGCTTGGAAGACCTCAGCAGCACAGGACATCAGAAATCCTCTCTAGCAGTAACTGTGGTCACTGAGTCAATCAACAAACACCCAGAGAGGCCCTTCAGGCCAAGAACTGTCACCCCCAGCGCTTGCTGAGGCCGTGGACCCCCAGCCAATGGAAATGGCCCGTGACCACGGGGGTCTTCTGCCCTTGTTCCGCTCCTTTCCGGGGCAGCTCGGAGTCAGCGCACCACCTCAGGAGACGGGACACCCTGGGCGGGGCCCGGCCCCTCTTGGCGGCTGGGGGCGCGGGGCGAGGGGACGAGGGGCAGAGTCTCAGGAGCCGGGGAGCGAGGGCGGAAAGCAGAAGTGAGAGGGCAGTGGGTGGCGCGGGCGGCCCGGGGGACAAGGTGACAGGGGAGGGGCTGCGATCGGCCTGGGCCCTGCCTCACGCAACCTGGCCTGCGGTTTCATCACGTGCTCCCCAAGCACCTCATTATGCGGCGCGGGCAGCGCCCCCTGACGGCGCAGCCCCTCCGCGCCGGCGCTCGGACCCCGCTGCGCGACCCCGCGTCCCCTGCCGGCGGGGACACTGGGGGCGGGGACTCCACGGAGGGGGCCGGAGCAGCCTCAGCTCCTTCCCCTAGAAAACGGGGACAATCAGCCCGGGCGCAGCGGCCCACGCCTGGATCCCAGCACTTGGGAGGCTGAGGCAGGAGCATTGTGAGTGGGAGCCCAGCCTTGAGCAAGATCCTGCCTCAAAATAAAAAATAGAAAAGGCTGGGGGTGCAGCACAGTGGCCGAACCCACACAGCTCTCGGAACGCAAACCTCGGGGCGCACGCAGACCCCACAGAGGCCTCGTGGAGACCCCTGAGGCCCACGCCGCTGCCCCGAGACAGGCACACGCCCCGCAGACGCCGGTGGGGCCCCCATCCCGGTGGAGAGTCGCCCGCCCTTCACTGTTCTCGTGTTACTGGATCGTGGGGGGGGGGTCCCGGGGACAGAACCCAGGGTCTCTGTACTGAGCCACGTTCCTGGTCCTTTCTTTTACTTTGAGACAGGGTCTCGCGAAATTCCCCGAGTTGGGCTCCAGTTAGAGATCCTCCTGCCTCAGCCCTGCAGAGTGCTGGGATGACAGGCTCGGGCCACCACACTGGGCTTTGGCGCCTCTCAACTCAGCCAGTTGCAGTGCAGGGGAGGATGCGGGCAGGGCGCTGAGACCCGAGGTCCGGGGGCCAGATTTCCCACTGGAGAAGGCCTAGGAAGCCCCTTTGCACCTAGGTCCCTGTGGCATCTGTGGGGAAACTGAGGCCCCTTCCCCGCCTAACCATGCCGGCAGGATGGGAGTCTGGGGTGAGCTTCTCTTGCTGGAGAAGCCAGAGCTGGAATGGTAGGGGCCGCCAGTCCCAGGTTCAAATGTTTTTTAAAATTTTATTTTTGGGGCCAGGGATTTAGCTCAGTGGTTCTCCCACCTGCCTCCCACTTGCAAGCACAAGGTCCTGAGTTCGCTCCCCATACCAATAAATAAATAAATAAATAAATAAATAAATAAATAAAATAAAATTTTATTTTTGTTAAACAGGGCGTGGTGAGGCACGCCCTATCATTCCAACACTTAGGAGGCTGAAGCAGGAGGATTACTGTGTGTTCGAGGACAGCCTGGGCTACATAGTGAGACCCTGTCTCAAAAAAAAGAACAGGGGCTGGGGATTTAGCTCAGTGGTTCCACCGTCTGCCTCGCAAGCATAAGGACCGAAGTTCGATCCCCGGTACCAAAAAAAAAGAACAAAACAAAATTTATTTTTGTTGAGCTGCACGTGGTGGTGCTCGCTTGCATTCCCAGCATTTGGGAAGCTGAGCGAGGAGGATTGCCCTGTATTACACAGCAAGACCTTGTCTCAAAAAAAATTTTTTTTTTAATATTTGCAGCACTGGGGTTGGAACCCAGGGCCCTGTGCATGCTAGGCAAGTGCTCTCCCTCTGGCTCCACCCAGCTCCACCACATGCTCTTTTTTTATTAATTCTCTCCCTCCTTTTCTTTCTCTCTCTTTTTTTTTTTTTTGCTTTGTTTTGTGTGTTGTATTGGGGATTGGATCTAGGGCCTTTGCACTGAACTGGACTCTGAGCCCTTTTATTTTTTATTTATTTACTTTTTCCATTTGGAGACAGAGTTGCCAAACCACCCAGGCTAGGCTCATACTTGCAACCCTCCCGCCTCAGCCTCCTGCAGTGCTGGGCTGACAGGCGCGCCTGCTGCCCGGGCCTCCACAGGCTCATGTGCTCTGTGCTCCTCTGCTGCTATCTCTGCATGGCATCTGGCCACAGCTGCATGTGTGGTCCTGGGAGGGCCCTGGCACCCGAATCCCTGTCCTCCTGCCGGTGACCCGACACACAGAAGACCCCTGGCACCTTCCCCAGACTCCTGCTCCTCTCCTTTCTTTCCCTCCCTCCCTGTCTCCCTCCCTCCTTCTTATCAAGTGCTGGGGACAGAACCCTGGGCTCCTCCATGCCAGGCAAGTGCTCCAGCCCTGAGTGCCTTCAGGCCACAGTGTTTTGCACACTCCGTGGGCCATGTGGTGATGCACACCTGTGGTCTCCACATTCCAGGAGGCTGAGGCAGGCGGATCTGACTTCAAGGCCAGCCCGGGCAACTTCGTGAGACCTCACTTGAACAGAAAAAGCAGCCGGGGCGGCTCCGTGGTGGAGCACCTGCCTGGGCTGTGAGGTGCTGGGTTCCGTCCCCAGCACTGATTAAAGAACAAAACTCAAAACCCTCGAGGCCCTTGAAACAAACCTAAGGCTGCACTGGCTGGTAGCCCAGGGCGCGGGACCCCAGGTGTGAACCCTGGGGAACAGCAGTGAGCCCCACACAAACCAGGAAGGAGGGCTGTGCCCGGAGGTCCCCCTGCACCTGGCCGTCTCCTGGCCGGGGCTCCTGGGCCACTGCAATCTGTGATCCGCTGCCTGCTCCACCTGCCCGCACGTGCTGGGCGCCCACTGCCCCATGCTGGACAGAGTCCAGGCCCCCAAGGCCTCCGGCGAGGTCCCCTGAGCTCTGTGGCAGCTGCAGGGACAGGGATGGCCCAAGACTTCCCTGCCTTTGTTCCAGAGAGAGATCTCCCTGTGGGGCTCCAGAAATTCATCCCCAGAGCCCAGGGCCTCCCTGCTTGGGAAATTAGCACAGCTGTCAGCACAGGAGGCGGAAGGGGCTGTGCCTGGGGGCCCGAGTGCAGGATGTGTGGCTGTGACCCCAAGACAAGGTCCCTAGCATCCTTGGTCCCATGTTCCACCACAGAAATAGGGGCGTGGAGGAGCAGGGGTTGGGGGAGAAGGACAGAGAATACAGAGAAATTCAGAAGGGGAGCCTGAGGCCAGTGAAGGGGAGGCTGACACTTTGGACAGGGGTGCAGGAGGCCTCTACATGCCCGGGGCACAGAGCAGCAGGTGCAAAGGTCCTGGGGTAGCAGTGTGCCCCAGCAGCAAGGTGGGCACCCAACCCCATGCCCCACCCCACCCCACCTTGCCCTTGAGAGGACTCCAGGCCCATGTTCTGCCTCTTTCACATGCAGGACCTGCCCGACCCAGACAGTCAAGTGGAATAGAGACAGTTGTCCCTTCTTCTTTTTTTGGTGGTTGGTACTGGCTTTGAACCCAAGGCCTTTACACTGAGCTACATCCTTACCTCTTTTTAGTTTTTCTTTTCTTTTCTTGGTACCGGGGATTGAACTCGGGTCCTTGCGCTTGCGCAGCAGATGGCGAAACCACTGAGCTAAATCCCCGGCCCTGTGCTTTTATTTCCCAGGCAGGGTCCCACTAAGTTCCTCAGACCGGATTAGAGCTTGGATCCTCCCGCCTCAGCCTCCTAGGGTGCTGGGCTTACAGGTGTGCACCGCCATGCCTGGCTGGCCATCCCTTCTTCAATCTGGAGGAGACAGGCTTTCCCCAGGGCACAAGGCAGGACCCCCAACCCCACGCGGGCCTGGCCTTGCACCCCATTTTCATCACCCCTGCTGAGCCTGGGGGATGGGGAATGGACGTGAATCAGGGTGGGGTCCTGAGACCCCCATTCCTGAGGCTAAGGCTGTCAGGTAGGCACACAGGTCCTTAGACTCAGGCCCGAGAGGCCCTTGCTGGGGCCCGGCTTTCCTGGTACCCCACAGAGACCCAGGGGCTGGGGCTGGGTGAGCTCCTGGACACCAGAGGGAAACTTCACACTCTAAACCCTCTCAGAACAGGGACATCTGAGCTGTGTGCCCCAAATCTCCCAAACAGGGAACCCCTGAATGTCTACACTCCTTGTCCTCAAGTTGGGCGACAATGACTGGAATTCCCCTTCTTGTTCTACATTTTCCAGAGGTCCGCCTGGGTGGGGAATGATTTAAGCAAAAAAATCACTCATGAGGAGGCAGCCGGGTCAGGCTCAGCTCAGCTGGTCACAAGGTGGCCCCGCAGCGCTGAGGGGAGACAGGAAGTCAGCGATCCCGTCTGCCTCCCTCTCCCTCGGTCCTCTCAGGATGAGGGGCGGCCCGAACTGCCCCCTTTCTCCAGGGTCCTGGGTGTCCTTCCTTGCCCTTGGTCTTCCCTCCTCCTGAAAAGCAGCTCCGAGATCTCAAAGGTGAGAAAGCCCATCTCCTATGTGGCCTGAAATTCTGCAAGCCAGGGTCGCCTGTTCCTTTAGACAGGTGGCACGGGACAGGAGGGAGCTAGGCTACCTTTCAGGAAGCACCTTGGACATCTGGAATCGGACCTCAGACACTGTTCCTTTGAAAACTAAATATATCTCCCCTCAGGGCTGGGACTGGAACCCAGGACCTCGAGAATGCTGAGCAGGTGCTTTACCAGTGGGCTTCAGCTCCAGCCAAAATCCAAAATCTTGTGTGGTGAGTGTGTGTGTGTGCGTGTGTGGTTTTTTGAGACAGGGTCTTGATGTGTGGTCCAGACTGGCTTTAAACTCACTATATAGCCCATGGTGGCCTTGAACTCCCGATCCTCCTGCCTCAGTCTCCTGAATATTCCAAATACTTTTTTTTTTTAATATTGTGGGTTGCACTCATGGCCTTCGCACTGAGTTAGTTATATCCCCTACCCTTTTAAAATATTTTTATTTTGAGACATCATCTCACTGGGTCGCTAAGTGGCCCAGCCTGGGCTTGAACTTGGGATCCTCCTGTCTCAGCCTCTCAGAGTGCTGGGATTACATGCATGTACCACCACAGAATACTTTTTTGAACCCTATGTTCGTGCGCTCCAGGGGTCTGAACATTTTCATCCCCAGATACCAAGGGTCCACTGGTCGTGATTTCCCAGTGAAGCTTTTCAGCCAGGCCAGGCAGAGGCCTTAGCTGTTTCTGGCTCTGGTCTGTGGCTGGGGGCAGCACGGACCTGGGTCAACCTCTGCGGCCCTGGACCCCGTGGCAGGGTACGGGGACCACGGGTGAAACTAACGCTGCCGCCAGGTCTCGTGCTAACAGCCCAGGGGGGCCGTGACCTGTCCCTGCACCGGTGTCCAGCTGGGGACACTGAGGCCTGGGCAGGGGGCCTCCGGCCCCAATCCCTAGGAAGGCGTGCGAGGCGCAGTGGGCCCTGCTCATGCCTCAGGGGTGCGCGCCCGCATCCGGGCCAGCTCAGCGCACAGCCCCAGCCCAGAGCCCCAGTCCCAGCCCTCCCACGCACACCCTTACACACGGGCCCTCGCAAGCGCAGAAGCGCCCCCGCGCCTCGACCCAACCCGGGGCGCAGAAGCGTCCAGAGGACCCCACGCGAGTCCCGACCCCGACCCACGCGACACGCACCTGCTCCTCCTGGGAGGCACGCGCGCGGACCACGGCCACCACCGTCTGAGCTCTGGAGCCTGTGGCCCCAGGTGTCCTCCCAGCGGCGGCCACGCCCTCGAGAGCTGATGGGGCAGCGGGCTCTCATTTGCATAGAGGGCGTGGTCCAGGCGCTACGATAGGCGGACCCTGGGGCGTGGCCCCGCCCCGGGATTCGGAGGTGGAAGGATGCTGGCTGAGATCGCGGGTAGGCAGGAGGCAGGAGGGGGCCTCGCGGCTCCGCGGCGAGCGCACCTTCAAGGCCCTGGTTCCCTCCCAGCACCGCAAAACAAAACAAAAAGCAAGGGAAGGGCAGCAGAGGGGCTGCAGGAAACCAGCCCTCACTAATGCTTCCGGCCGGCCTCAAATTAGACCCTGTCCCTAACGGATCACCACCGGACTCCTGCATTCCTGAAGGAAAGGTGGCCAGGTCCCGGGGCCTGTCCCTCAGGCACCCAGCCCTCCTCGCAGACAGCGCTCTCCTGAGCTCACACAGCAGAGGGGCTGCAGACAGGGTTCCTGGGTCAACTGTTTGGCCGCGGACGGTGCTGGACTCTCGCGGGTCCCAGGAGCCCCACAAGCCCAAGGTCATCACTCTTGGCCCCATCTTGATCTCCACTTCTGAGGTCAGATGTGGCTGGGTGATCTGTACTCTCAGCACTCGGGAAGCTGAGGCCGGAGGATCACAAATGTGAGGCCAGCCTTGGCACCTGAGATAGGAGGCTGCAGCCAACCAGAATGGAGGTCAAGGGGTGAGCCAGAAGGGTCAGGGAGGGCTTCCCAGAGGATGGGGCATTTGGACTGGGCCTTCAGGTATGAGGAGGAGTTTGCGACTGAGAGAAGGGCTTTTCAGGAGAGGATGGCACCTGCAAAGAGGAGCTCAGAGCACCTACTGTCAGGGTGGGGACTGGGGGTAAGATGGAGGAGATGGAGCAGAGCCGTGGGTGGGAAGGATCCAGGCAGGAGCTTGGAGCCCCAGAGGAGGGATCAGCTGGGGTGGACAGAGGGAAGCCAAGCAGGTTCCCCCAGCTGTCTACTGTCTGTCTCCTCAGGAGACAGCAAGCAGACCCCTGGGCTCAGGGAGAAGCACATGGAAGACACCAATGTGTGGGGGACACTGAGGCAGGGAACCGTGCTAGGCGGACTCGTGTCTCTCCCTGTGCTTCAGTTTACCAGTCTGTACAGTTTGGATCATTAAGTCTGGTCACAACTGTTTTTCTTTTTTGACAGCAGGGTCTCGCTATGTGACCCAGGCTGGCCTCTCAAGTCCTGGGACTACACAGTGTGACACCTCGCCCAGCTACAACTCTGTCACCTGATCTTAGCCCAAAGGCCGAGAACCGTCACAACTTTCTCTTTAGACATAAAAACTGGGGTTCACACGGGCATCCTAGTGTCCCTCCCCATTCACTGCTCAATGCCACACCCTTGGGTGTCCCAGACCACACCTGGCCCAGGGTGGGGGCTTCTGCCTGGGCTCCAAGGTGCAGAAGCAGGCTTGGGGAGCCTGGAGGTGGCTGGGGAGCCCCGGGCCCCCCAGGGCCGCTCTGTTTACCCGTGGCCTCCCCGACAGGCTCTGATGCAACAGGCAGGCTCTGGTTACGTGAGGGCGGCAGCTGGAGCAGCTCTGGGAGCCTCGGGGCGTGGCGGGAAGGGCTAGGGCTGAGCAGGGGCCTCCCCTCCCTGGCCCCACTCCCCTTCCATCCTGCTTGTTTGGGGCCCCTACCCCCAGCCCTTCATCCAGCCCAGAGTGGACCTGGGAAGTTGGGGTGCATGTCTATCGCGGTCCCCCAGCACAGGGACCCCTCTGGGCTGGGCCAGGTGGATGGTGGCAGCAAGGAGCATCACCGTGGGTCTCCTGAGAAAGGACAGGTGGGGGCCAATGTGGGGTACCCAGAGGCTTGTTGGGGGACAGCACAGGGCCAGGAGCAGGCCTGAAACAAAAGCCAGGTCTTGGACCGGGAGGTCAGGTCAGAAAGCAGCTGAAGTCTGTCACCCTGGCCTCCGAAGGTCACCGTCCTCTCCGGTCTCCTTTTAGCAGCCTCAGATCTGAAGATCAACCCGGGCTGGGGTCACTTCCGGTCAGTCTCAGCAGAGTGGCTGCGCGCTCCTTTGAACCCCGGGGGCATCCTGTGAGAGCCCCTCCAGGGAGGCTGGGAGCTTTGCCATGGTGTGGGAGCAGACCCGAGCTCCTGCAATGCCGCGTAATTCGGTCCCTTGGAAGCACGCTTCGCGTGAGAGGCAGGAACCAGGGTAAGAATGTGACAGAGGCCAAAACCCAGCAGTCCTGCGGACCACGATGACCTTTTAGGCTCAGCTCTCGGCCAAGGCTTTGCCTTGTGCGCCCCCTGGCGGCGGGCAGAGGTGGGGCGTCCTCTAGGCCGCAGGGCTAATCAGACTTGCAAATGAGATGCAAATTACCCAGGGCCTCCCAGAGCCCTCAGGCGGCGGTGATGAGGTCTCTGGCAGCCCAGAGTCCCGCTCACATCCCTCTTCAAAGGGCAGGACGATTCGCTGCGGACTGGAGGACCCAGCCAGTGGTTGCAGGTGACATGGAGCCTGGGGGTGGGGCTTAGGCACCCAAGATCCCCCCCCATACGCCACCTGTTATCTCAGCTGAGTCTTAGGTGCGGGGTTGGGCTGTCCCACCCACTGCGTGTCACAGAGGGGAGACAGTGGGGGCGATTAACAGGACAGGTGCAAGGGCAGGGGACAATGACTGCCTCCCCAGTGTCAGGGACAGGGATAGTCACTGCGGGCCCACACCAGTCAGGGACCCAGATCGGTGGACCTGTGGCTCCTCTACCCGCCCAAACTGAGCCTGAACAGTGGAGAGGCAGCAGGCGTGGTGGCGCACGCCTGTGCTCAGTGGGGAGGCCAAGGCAGGAGATCACTGGGAGTTCCAGGCCGGCCGGGGCTGCACAGTGAGCTGAGGGCCAGAGTGACTATACAGCCAGACGCTCTCTCCAAACAGACGGAATACGAGTGAGCCAAGATGGCCACGCAGCCCACACCCCCGGGAGAGGAGGGAGAGGTCACCCAGGCGCAGCAATCCGATGTCTCCCTCGTCCCCAACTGCCCCCCGCCGACCCCGTGTCAGACCTGATGTCCCAGGAAGACCCCAGCTCCCCAACACCCCCCAGGGCCAGGCTGCGGGTCCTCGCAGAGCAGTGGGCTGGGGCACACCTTGCCGTCCTGATCTTCCCAGGGCACCTCACAGGGACAGAGGACAGCAGCTCACACAGGGGGGCACCCCGGATGGGCTGGTCACTCTGACCTGGGATTCACAGGGCTTGGCGCAGACCCTACACCAAACAGCCCCCAAAGCAGTTTTTGCCAAGCCGGTAATTTAAGTGTGTGAAATGGAAGTTTTGAGATTGGCAGTGTCAGGTACAGCTGGATCCAGGGTCCCTCTCCAGGCTCCCAGGTGCCCTCCCTTTTGTCAGCAGCAGAAGGGCCCCACAGAAGCCCTCTCACTGGCCACAAGCCCCCCGTTTTGCCCAGATGGAACTGCAGGCCTCATGCACACAAGGCGCATGCTCAGCCACTGAGCTGCACCCACAACCCACATGCTTATGACCAGCCAATCACTGTGACCCAGCAGATGGGGGCTCAGATTCTTGAGACCAGGACCCATGCCTGCGCCTGGGGCAAGGAGGTGGTTTTGCCAGGCAGGAGGCACCGAGTGTCCTGTTAGCCCCGGGAGGAGTCCAGAGAGGGTGAGGAGTGTGCCCTGCGTTACACAGCAGGCCAGCCAGGCGGGTCTGCTCGAGTGGGGTCCCCAGGCCAGGTCGCCCCACCTCTCGGAGCAGTTCTGCATTCTGGTGTGCACGTGGGAGTGAAGCCGGCCTTAGGGGGCCAAAGACGAGCAATGGCCCTCGTGAGCCCACCAGCACGGTGATGACGACTGGGGCAGACGGCGGCTGCTCTGCGGGACCAAGGGCCCAGTCCAAGGCTGGCGGGGTGGGCAGGAGCCCAGGCTGCAGATCCGCAGTGGGGACCGCTGCGGCAGGGCCTCAAGGCGGCCTCAGGGGAGGAACATGCTGGCCGGCTCGCCTGGAACCTGGGGACACCGTGAAGCTGGGGCCAGGCCGGGCCGGGGAAGGTGGCCCTGGGCTGCGAGTACCGTGAGCCTTGGCTTCCTCTCTGGCGGCACAGGACAGGGCTGAGGTCATGGCGCTGGAGAGGTGGACGGGGCCGGGGCCTGGAAGGTCACTCAGCAATGCCCCAAGGGACATCTCGGGGAAGCTGGCAGCAAGGACCCTGGACAGCAGAGGTTGGGATAGGGCGTCTGGGACAGCCACCCCTCCCCGAGGCCGCCCACCAGCCCGGTGGGTTAGACAGCGGCCCCTGCTGGCAGGTTAGTGTGGGCACAGGCTCACGGCTGCCCTGGGCACTGACCTGGGCAGGGAGGCCAGGGTCCCCGTCTCTTTCTGGATCAGGCCGAGGAGGGCAGGGGTGGCTCCTCGGGGCTGGAACAGAACACGCGGCTTGGTAAGGGTGAAGTCGGAGGCCTCGGGGCGCTGGCTGGGCGGGGGTGTGTGGATTTGGGCACACTCTCAGCCTTCAGGACAGACACAAAAGCGGGATTTGGGAGCCGGGTGCGGTGGCGCACGGCTGTAATCCCTCTTGAGGCAGGAGGATTGCCTCGAGGCCAGTCTGGGAGACACGGTGTCTTAAATAAAGGGGTTCAGGGTCCCACGCAGGGAGTCCTGACTGGCAGGAAGGAGCAGGGTGTTGGGAAGCACCTTGGAAACCAGGAGCTGCTTTTGAATGAACACTGGTAGTCAACCGCTGCGCCACCCAGGACAAAGCAGCCCGCCGCCCAGGGCTCCCCGCTGCCTGGGAGAGAGGGAGGCCACATGGCCCTCCAAGCGCCCACAGCTAAATCGGCTGGAACGAGTCCAGCGTCTCGCACTCAGCTCGCCTCGCAGGTTTCCTTCCTACAGGCTGGTAGGGACTGGGATGCCATGCTCCACGCTGTGGGAGCCGCTGCTGCCCAGGGGGAGATTCCAACTATGACACACGCGTGTGCTCTTATGTGCATTTATTAAATTAGAACAAAGACAGCTGCAGTGGTGCACGCCTGTCAGTCTCGCACTCAGGAGGCTGAGGCAGGAGGATCACCATGAGTTCACGACCAGCCTGAACTACATAGCGAGATTTTTGTCTCAAAAAACCAAAAAACCAACAACAACAACAACAATAACAACCAATAAATAAATAAATAAATAAAACGTTTTAACGAGAGGCACCGGGGATTTAGCTCAGTGGTGCAACACCCGCCTGGCAGGCGCAAGGTCCTGAGTTCAATTCCCAGTACCAAGAAAGAAAAGGTTATAATGAGGGCAGAAAGGAGAAGAGCCCCTCCTGCCAACACGGCACATGAGGACGGGAGTGCTTTTGACTCCCACTTGGCTGTGCCTGGGCTCAAGCACCTCAGCCTGAAAGGGTCCTGCCCACCCCACCACCGCAGATCTTCCTGGTCACCTGTCATGGTCACGCGGGCCTCCGCCAGGGCCCCAACACCGCCCGTCACCTGTCCGTCAGGCCACCTCAGGCGCCCCGTGTCCCCTGCTTGGCAGAAGCACTCCCATCCCCGCGTGCCGCCTGTCCCGGTCACTACTGTGACCCCAACTCTGGGCCAGGCACATGGCAGAGCTTGGGCTCTGCGCATCACCAGTGCCGAAGGACAGTGGGAGCCACCAGCCTCCCTGTGGCGAGGAAGCGAGATCTCCAGGGACAGGAAGCAGCGGCTCTGGGCTGGGCAGGCGGGCAGCACTACCTGTGGCCCTGGGCAGAGGCGTTCATGTGGTCCCGGATGTTGATGGCCTGCTTGAGCAGCCCCTCCACACTGCGGAAGTACACGCTGCTGTCCACCAGGTTCTTCACGGCGCTGTGGGGAGTAGCTCATCAGCGTCCTGGGCCGGCCGGGTCCCCACATCTGCCTGGCCCCACATCTGCCTGCCCCACAGGAGCCTGGCCAGAGCTGGTGGGTCACGCAGGCACGTGGGTGCAGCTGCTCTGGCAACCGCCTCAGCCTCCCCAAGGGCTCAGGGCGGCTTTGATGCCAGATGTCTGCCCCCGTGCACAGCTCACGACGCTGGGACCAGGCGACGACTTCTCCTCGGGCTGGGGGCTGAACCCAGGGCGATCACCCACTCGTCTTTCTTGGGATTCTGTGACACAGTTTCTCTAAACTGCCCAGAATGGTATCAGCCCTGTAAACCCCCCGCCTCCCCGCCACGGCTGAGAGGGCAGCTGTGCGCTCCTCTGCCCGGCTGACCCTCACCTGCTCCCTCTGGGAAGGCAAAGCATCGGGAGGACAGGCGGCAGGTGCCGACCCGTCACCCTGGGCTGTGTCTGGGGACAGCGGGGCTGGGCACTAGGGTGCAGGGGGCAGGCTCGGGACAGGACCACAAAGGGCCAGGGTGGGGCAGTACCTGCAGGCGTACTCCACGGTGTAGATGGCGCCCTGGCTCTGCTCCTCCCAGCGCTGCATGTCTGCCTGCCAGGGTCAGGATCGGGATTGGGGAGGGTAGGGGCGGCAGCTCCTTAGGGCTCCTCCCAACTCTCTCCCCGAGGCCCTGGGGAGGGGCCCAGAGCCCTACGCCCCAGCCAGGCTGTGCACTCCGCCACCCCTACAGCTCCTCAAGGGTGTCCAGAACAGCGCCCCCACACCTTGGGGCTCTGCATTGGCTGCGCCCTCTGCCTGCCGTGCCTTCCCCTGGGTCTTCACCCCTCTCCCCGGTGGAGGCGGGTCACGGGAGGGGGAACCCTGGGGGCAGGGCAGGGCTCACCTTGTGCTGGGCCAGCTCCGGCAGAGAGCGACGCACGTGCTCCTGCAGCCGGTAGAGCGCCACGGACGGCTCGTTGGCCAGGACGTAGACGCTCTCGGTGAACTTGTCCGTCACTAGGTCCCCGGGCGGCAGGAAGGGGCGGGGCAGAAGGGGACAGCATCAGACCCTGATCGCCCACCCTGACAGCCCAGCCAGGGCGGAGGAGAGGGGCATCTGGCGGGCAGGACGGGGTCCCAGCGGGACCTCTCACGAGGGCAGGTGGCGCAAACTGGGAATTCGAATCTGTCCTCTTCCAAAGTCACCTGGAGTGGGCGCTGCTGCTCAGAGCCCCTCAAATCCCTTTCACCCCAAGGATACCTCAGAGGGGAGACCCCTTCGGGGACCATCCAGGGGACCCCAAAGTAGCCTGGCACTCACAGCCTGGGGGGCCGCAGGCAGCCATGTCCCACTGCGGGGTGAAAACCACGTCCCTCATTGCCGCAGGCTGTGTCCTCATGGGGTCTCCTGCAGCGCCCCCCCACCAGTTACTGCACGCTAGTCCCTGCCAGAGTTGATGCCAACAAAGAGCAGCCAGTTGGTACCTCCTACCCTTCCTAGCCCATCGCCAGCAAATCCCACCATTACACCACAAAACAGCACCCAAATCTGTACCGACTACTGCGCTGCCCGGCCAGGACCTAGGCCAGGCCCTGCTCCTCCTGCCAGCAGGCTCATCCTGGCAAATCACAAAGGGCCTTGCTTAAATCCTCCAAGGGAGCCAGGCATGGTGCTGCTTACTGAGACAGACCCTGTCGTGAAACAAAAACTAAAAGGGGTTGGGATGTAGCTCAGTGCAAAGGTCCTGGGTTCAATCTGAAGTACCAGAAACAAAACAACTTTCTAGGGCCGGGGATTTAGCTCAGTGGTTTAGCTGCCTGCTGCGCAAGCGCAAGGACCTTATTGGATCCCCAGTTCCAAACAAAACAAAACAAAACAAAACAAAACAAAACAGCACTGCTGTGACACATTAACAAAACAACTTTCTCACGGTTCCCACCAACCAGTAAATTAACTCATCTTTCCTTGCCAGCTATGGTGGTACATGCTTGTATTTCCAGCTACTCAGGGGGCTGAGGCAGGAGCATCATGAGTTTGACGGCAGCCTGGTTAACTTAACTAGACCCTATCTCAAAATAAAAAACAAAGAGATAGGAATGTAGCTCAGGAGAAAGCCCTTGGCTTGCACACACGAGACAGGTGGCCGAGCACTAGAAATGGGGCTCGTGCAACTGAGGAACTCAAATTTCAATTTTGCCTCAATTAATTCACATTGAAACACCCATATGTGACCAACAGCTACTCCATTATCACAGCTCTGAACACACTGCTACCCCAGGGCCTTTGAGCCTGCTCTTTCCTCCTCCAAGAGACCCTTTCCCCACTGCCTCCTCTTCATCACTGTCTTGGTTCTAAAGTCACCTCCTGGCCAGGGTTCTCCTGATACCCAGTTTAACCAGTTGCTCCTCCACTTCACTCAGGACCTCAGTCCCCTCACACAGTTCTCTTGTATCTATTACAATTTATCACATTCAAGTTCATGGGAAAAACAAAGCTTGGATTCACAAGGGCAGGAGTTTTCTCTGAGCCTCAGTTTCCTTATCTGTAAAAATGAAATTATGGGGCCAGGGATTTAGCTCTGTGGTGCTGTGCCTGCCTTACAAGTGCAAGGTCCTGAGTTTGATCCCAAGTACAAAAAAAAAAAATATGTATCCAGGCTTGGTGGTGTATACCTGTAATTCCAGAACTCTGGGAGGCTGAGGCAGGCAGACTACAAATTCCAGCCCTACTGGGGCAACAAATGAGCAAGCCCCTGTCTCAAAATAAAAATGGCTGGGGATGTAGCTCAGTGCAAAGAGTTCAAGCCCACTACCACCAAAAAAAGAAAAGAAAAGCACACAATAGTTTATAACTCACAGGAAGTATTTTTTTATGAGGGCAAATTAAATGTTTATGGACTGGAGTACTTCTCTGCCATGAAGAATGAGTTTCAGACGTTTCTAGCTAAATGGATGCACCTTGAGACCATATATATTTTTTTTTTTCTGATACCAGGAATTGAACTGAGGGGCGCTTGTGCAGCAGGCAGCAAAACCACTGAGCTAAATCCCTGGCCCTAAGACCATATTCTTAAGTGAAATGTTGGACACACGTTTAAATACCGGATTGTTTCTCTGGTGTGAGAAACTGAATGTGGAAATAAGGACTGAAATGTATAATGGATGTTAGGAAATGAGAAGAACAAGTTCAAATGGGAGGCGGAACAAGAGAGGAGCAAGGGAGAAAGGAAGGGGGGGACAAGAAAAAAAGTGAAAATAGAAGGAAAAAATGGAAACAAAGCTTTTGTATGCAGGGAGGGGAGGGAAGAATGGGAAAAAGCGGTGGGATGCATCATGTACAGGTGCAAATTCCCTATGATGAGCGTTACCATTATGTACACCTAAAATGTACCAGTAACTGTTTTGCTACTTAAAATAAACCAGCCAGGTATGGTGGTGAAAGCCTGTAGTCCTAGCACTCGGGAGGCTGAGGCAGGAGGACTGCCACAAGTTCAAGGCCAGCTTGGATTACAGAGTGAGACCCTGTCTCAAAAGCTAAAAGTAAATAAATTTAAATAAGTAAAAATAAAAAAAGCAGAGTGATTACTATGCCGCAAGCGTTCTTCCAATTCTTTCCAGATGTCACATTATTAAATGCTCATAACTATGAATGGATAAAGAAGAGGGGGTGTGTACACCCCCTGGAGTACTGCTCAGCCATAAAGGATAAACCATTCATTTTAGGAAAGTGGATACACCTTGGATCCATAACGTTAAGTGAAATAAACCAGACACCCAGGCTTAAGCATGGCATAACTTCTCTCATACGAGAAGCCCAAAGTATAAATAACTTAGAAAACACAATAAAACGACAATAGGAAACAGGGAGACATATCTTTTGCAAATGGGGAAGGGACCGGGAGACGGCGGGAGGGAGAAGGGGAATAAAAGGATGCGCTATGTCCGTGCACCAAGCCCGCACGGTGAACGCGATCTCTACGCACACGGCACTAATAAACATAAAGAAATGCTGGCGACAATCCACCGGAAATACCATCCTCTCCACTTTACAGATGACAAACCGAAGCTCGGAGGTGCGAAGGGTTTCAAAGCTACTTGGCGCCAGGCTAGGACTCCGCGATTGTCCCCGCACGCTCCCTCCCGTCCCCGCCATCCCGCCGGGCCCGCGTCACCTTTTTTCCCCTTGAGCTGCATCTCGGGCTCCTCCATGGCGACAGCGGCCGGGAACCCAACGGGAACCGGAAGTCTCTAGGCTGGAGCCCAGGCCTAAGCCTTCCCCTCGGAAACCGGACCCCGCACAACTCCAGTTCCGGAGCCAATTGGCCCAGTTCCTCCAACCCCCGGGACAGGAGAGGGGCTAGAAGTGAAAAAGCACGGGAAGGGGGTAAATCGGGAAAAGGGGCGGTGAGGATCCAGGAGGGAGGCCTAGGCGGGGGAGGGGCAGGGCCTTGCTCCCTTCCCTTCCCTCTTTTCCAAGGGCAGACGAGTTGAAGGAAACTCCATCACTGCTCACTTTGGGCCATATACACAACCTCTTTTGCCTCGCTGCTGCCAGTGAGTCCCTGCATTTGCTCATCAGGTTGTAGGACCACGGACGGGGCATTACTGTGGGAAGGGGCGTCACACCTACGTTGCCCCTTTAAATTCCAGACCCCTCTCCTACTTTCCTCCGCCCTCCATCTAGGGAAAGCTCCGACAATGCGCCCATAGTCGAAGCCGATTGGCTCGATCTGGAAAACTCTGTGGGCGGAGCTGGGGTTGAGGGGGCACCGGCGTAAAGGGGCCCGCAGAGCTCTCTGAGGTCCCCTTCCCCCACCCCTCCCGTCCCCCGTTGAGAGGAAGTAACGCGCAGGCGCAACTGCGCTAATTAGCCCCCAGCGGAAGCCTCTCCCCTCCCCCATGCCTTAAAGGGCCAGAAACAGCTGCCGCTGCTTGAGCCCTTTCCCACTTTTGGGGGGCGGGGGTGCGCAGGCGCAGTGGGGGAGCGCTGGGGTGGGGGTAGCGATTTCGTATCAAGTTGCTCTCGGTCCCGGCCGTGGAAGCCGGAGGGGTGAGGGTCAAGTCTGTAGCCTGATCCCCGCTATATCCATCGAAGGAGAAAAGTTTGTGAATTGGGGTCCCAAGTTTTGGGGGATCCGGGCTTGCAGCACGGGGTGACGGAGGAGGCTCGTGAGAGGTGAGTGGACCTCCTGGATCGGTTTGGGAGGCTCGGGTGGGATTGGAACCAGTAACATCTTTTGTTGCGATCTCACTCATTTTGGGGGGACCCTCCACCAAATAACCACAGGGAACATTTACTAAGTGCTGCCCCCATCGGAACCCCTGCTGTGCTGTTTCGACGCGATTTCTTTTAGGCTTCATTTCCTCGTTTTGTTGAGGAAGACACTGAGGCTCTGGGAGGTTAAGTCATAAGCCCAAGTTCGAAGTCCGTGGGAAGATTCGAACTCAGCTACTCTCGAGGCTGGGCTTTAAGGCTTTCCGTGTTGCAGGTGCCTCGACGGTCGGTGGGAACAGTGGGCCAGGTGTTAATTGCCCAGCACTAGCCATTAATCCGAGCCTCAGTTTACCCACCGTCGGTGTCCAGGGCTAGGGACGTAGCTGGTGCCTGCTCAGTAAGAACTGCTGTTAATCATCTCTACCCCGCCGCTTCTGCAGCCGCCCATGGAGCCCACCCGGCCTGCGGAGGACCTGCTCTCGTCCCAGCCGCCCCCCGACCCAGAACTCAGGGACCCGGAAGACCCTGGCAGTGAAGCGCCGGACGGTTCGGACACCGTGGTCCTCAGCCTCTTCGCCTGTGCGGCCGAACCCGGGAACCCTGAGGCCGACGCCAGCGCCTCCTCCCTGCAGGGTAAGATCCTCTGCTACTCGGTGACTGGGACGTCCTGCTCCATGACCCCTCCCCTCTGTCTTCTGGCCCTGACTTAAGACATGTCTTTCCTCCCTGCCTGTAGGGATCATTTATTTGTGCTTTATAATTTTGTATATTTGTTTTTGTCTTCTGAGTCAGGGTCTTGTTATGTAGCCCAGGCTGGCCTCAAAGTCCTGGTGATCCTGATGCCTTAGACTCCCAGAGTGCTGGGATGACAGGCATGTGCTACCGCACCTGGCTTGTGTACTTTTTTTTATTGTGCCATAAGGTTTACCACCGAACCAGAATTGCAATACAGTTCAGCAGTATCTGACACATTCACAATGTTGTGCAACTGTTACTTCTAGTTCCAGGACATTTTTGTCACCCCAGTAGGAAACCCTGAGAACCCATTAGCTCCCGACAAGCACATATCTGTTTCCTGTCTCTTTCGGCTTCCTGTCGTGATTTCTGTGTTTCAGTGGAATCGTCCATTATGGGCCATTCGTCTCTGAACTCTCATTCAGTGTCATGTTCTCCAGGTTCCTGCACACTGAATGTGTCAGTGCTTCTTCGTTCCTTTTCGTGGCTGAGTAATACTCTACTGTGTAGGTGGGGATTGGTTCAGCAGGGGAAAGCAGGCACTGTGGGACAGGCTGGGTCCTGGCGGGGGCATGACATTAGCAACAGTCCCTCCCTGTTCTGGGGCGGCAGGTGTATCCTCAGCCAGTTCCTTCTACATCTTGGTAGCCAGAGAGACCACAGTGCTCCCTGCCAGAAACTCTTAGGAGCCAGGCAGGGTGGTGCACACCTGTGACCCCAGCTGCTGGGGAGGCTGAGGCAGGAGGATCACAAGTTTGAGGCAACTTAACAAAACCCTGTTTTAAATAAGAAAAACCTGGGCACAGTTGCATGTTCTGGTAATCACAGCTACCCCGGAGGCTGAGACAGGAGGATTGCAAGTTTGAGGCCAGCAAGGGCAATTTAGTGCAACCCTGTCTCCAAATTTAAAAGCTATGTAATCCCAGCACTCTGGGGTGCTGACCCAGGAAGATTGCAAGTTCAAACCCAGCCCGGGCAATTTAGCAAGACCCTATCTCAAAAACAAACAAAAAAATATACGGCAGGTGTGTGGTGTACACCTGTGATCCCAGAAATTCAGGGCTGAGGCAGGAGGATCTCCACGAGTTCAAGGCCAGCCTGGACAACATAGTGAGACGCTGTCTCAAAAAAAAAAAAAAAAAATCTTCTTTACCATATGGAGAAATGAGGATTTCTCTTTTGACTGGAGTCCTCGAATATGCAGTTAGGTTCACTGCAGAAACTGTCCCTGCCATTCCCTGTCAGGAATGTTTTTCCATTCACTTCCCAGTGCCTCTTCAGTACGACAGAATCTGAGTTCCTGTCCCTCCAGAGCCACCCTCTCTGATCACCTTATCTCAGTTGCCCTTCTACACCTTATTTTTTCAGAACCTGCATTTCACCTTGAGGCTTTTTGCTTGTTGCTTTTTATTCTGTGGTGCTAGGGATCGACCCCCTCACACTCAGCCCATTTTGCATTTTTATTTTGAGAAAGGGTCTCTCTCAGTCACTAAGTTGCCCAGACTGGGTTCAAACTTGCCACCTTCCTGCCTCAGCCTCCCAGAGTGCTGGGATGGCAGCCTTGGCTATAGTGGCCACCTCTTGAGCCTGATTCTAATTCCCTGTGTTATGCGGCCACATGTGTGGGCTCCTGGCATGCAGAGACTCTTGTCTGGTCTCTAGGCACAGGAAGCAAAGCAGGAAGCCCCGTGACATAGTCCCAGGGGAAACTGAGGCACCCCCCCCCCACAGGCAGCTCCCTGAAGCACTCCACAACCCTCACCAACCGACAGCGGGGGAACGAGGTCTCAGCCCTGCCCGCCACCCTGGACTGTGAGTAATGTGGCGGGAGGAGCCGAGAGGAGCAGTTTGGAGCAGGGTGACCTGAGGCACGGAGAAGCAATGGGATGGGCCAAGACCCTGTCCCTCTGTCCTCAGCGCTGTCCATCCACCAGCTTGCGGCCCAGGGGGAGCTGAGCCAGCTGAAGGAGCACTTGCGGAAAGGTGAGTGCCACAGGCCCTGCCCTGGCGCGTGATTGTGGGTGCTGGTGGGCCCCAGAGAGCCCCTGGGGCCTGTGTCTGCCCGTGCGTATGAGCCGCCTGCGCCCCCGTCTGACCCCAGCCCCTACCCGGTCCCTGCTCCCCGCTCCGGTGACCCTGGGGACAGCAGGCAGGGCTGCAGCCCAGCAGTGCCTCCCACTCGCCAGGTGACAACCTCGTCAACAAGCCCGACGACCATGGCTTCACCCCGCTCATCTGGGCCTCGGCCTTTGGAGAGATCCAGACAGTCCGCTTCCTCCTGGACTGGGTTCGTCCGCCCCAGGGACTTGGCGGCGGGGAGGCTGGGGTTCCTGCCAGAGATTCCCCAGGATCCCACGGGTCCTGTCACCACCCGCTCTGTCCGCAGGGTGCTGACCCCCACATCCTCGCCAAGGAGCGTGAGAGTGCCCTGTCTCTGGCCAGCATGGGCGGCTACACGGACATTGTGGGGCTGCTGCTTGAGCATGATGTGGACATCAACATCTATGACTGGGTGAGGGCTCATCTGCCCCAGACCCTGTGGAACCTCCAGCCCTCCATTCCTGCCCTCGGACCTTTCCGGGGCACCTGCTTGGGGTGCTGGGAGAACAAGTCAGACTTGTCCTCCTCATACCTGATAGAGCTCCCAGTCGGGAAGAGACCAAAACATAAACAGGTAGCTGAGAAATAGTGAATAGTGCTGTGATGGCAGGCACACTAGCAGCTGTGAGGGCCCAGAGGCAGCCAAGGGATGCCAGGGAGGCCTTCCTGGAAGGTGAGGCATCTATGCGGAGACACAAGAAGAAAGATGGGCCATTTGATAAGCTGAGAAAGGAATCCCATTCAACCGGAAGCCAGAGAATGAGGCACCATGGGAACCAGAAAGTGAGTGTCAGTTTCCTCCTGCCCTCGGCCCACAGAATGGAGGGACACCACTGCTGTACGCTGTGCGCGGGAACCACGTGAAGTGTGTGGAGGCTTTGCTGGGTGAGAAGGGTCCCCCAGATCTCCAGCTCACCCTAGAGAAGCCCCGAGTTCTAGGCCTAGCCCATCGCTACCTACTTTCCTTGGGGACTGGGAGCGATCAGTTATGTCCAGAGGGCTGTGGGAAAGTTGCAGTTGGATACAAAGGGTGCCCTGGTCCTACTGAGCACGCCAGCCCCACCCCCAGTGCCTGCTCTGCCTTGCAGCCCGAGGTGCGGATCTTACCACGGAGGCTGACTCAGGCTACACCCCAATGGACCTCGCTGTGGCCCTGGGATACCGGAAAGGTGGGCAGCCACAGGGGCCACAGGAGGGGGACCCATGGGGACATGGGGACACGGACACAGGACGCCCCTCCACTGTAGGGGCTGGCAGTGAGCGATCAGCACCACTGTGGGCCAGGCTGGGCACCTGCCGTCATTCAGGCTTCGGGCACTGTCACGTGCTAGGATAGAGCTGCACTGGAACTGAGAGGCCCGGGTGCCCCAAGTGTCCTGGTCCATCTCTGTTGCTACAGAAGGGCATCCGGGACAGTGCAAGTTACCACAAAAAGAGATTTATTTTAATTGTTGTGGAGACTGGGAAGTCGAAGATTGGAAGGACAAGTGGGCTTAGAAGACATAAAACCTGAGGGGAAGCCTTGGTTTAAAATAACTGTTTTTAGCTAGGTGTGGTGACACATACCTGTAATCCTAGCACTCAGGAGGCTGAGGCAGGAGGATCACTGAGTTCAAGGATAGCCTGGGCTACACAGTGATTTCAAAGCCACGCTGAAGTACATAGCAAAACCCTGTCTCAAAAAACAAAACCAAAAAGAATTTTTACAAACTTCCCGGAGGTGAGGCTGGTGGGATGGGAGCGGCTTTTCCATGGGAGGGGTGTGAATCCCCTGGTCTAGAGTGGCCTCTCACTAGACCCAGGGCTGGGGTCCCTCTGTCCTCAGCAACCACTTCCGGTCCTGCTCATGGCTTCCCTTTCCCTGCCCCAGTGCAACAGGTGATGGAGAACCACATCCTGAAGCTCTTCCAGAGCAGCCTGGGGCCCGTGGGCCCTGAGTGAAGGCACCGCCAGGACTCAGACTCTCAGGGAACGGAAGGGCCAGGCGACGCTGCAGGCATCCAGACCTGGCCTCCAAGGCAGCTCCTGGACAGGCGGGGAGGGGACCCTCCTAGGGGAACCAATAAACGCTCTGTGCAGAACTCAAGTGCTTCCCGAGGGCTCCCTGGAGGTGGTGGCCATCTAGGGCCTCACGCTGCCTTTTCCCCCAGGACCCGCAGGTGGTAGATGACCACACGGCCAAAGAAGTCTGTGGTGTCTTCAAATGTCATCTTCAGCTGGTCCACCTCGGCCAGGGGCACAGGGAAGGTGTGAGCATGGGCAGTCAAGGCAAACAGTGGCTTTGTGTCCCATCTGAAGGCCCCCACCTGCCCCAGACCTGGGCTCCAGTCCCAGCTGGACACCACCAGTGCGCTGGGTGACCCAGGCCCACTGGTCATCATCAGCACTATTTTCCAGACAGAGGCCTAGTGGTCACTTGTTGAAGGACATTTTCCAGGTTCCCATCAGGGTCCAGTTGGCCCAAAGCTTTGAGAGGCTTAGCCAGGCGTGGTGCACACCTGTCATCCCAGCTCTGGGGATGCTGAGGCAGGAGGATGGCCAATAGTTCGAGGCCAACCTGGGCCATACAGTGAGACCCTGTCTCAAAACCAGACCTTTTAGGGCCCGGGATTTAGCTCAGTGGTTCTGGCACCTGCCTTGCAAGTGCAAGGTCCTGAGTTCGATCCCCGGTACCAAAAAAAAAACAACAAAAAAACCCAAAGCTTTTAGAGGCACAGATGGCCCACCTAGTCCCACAGCCAGGGCAGGATATCTGGAGGGAGTTGTTGTCCTTGGGGTAGAAGACTATAATCTTGCTAAGTGCCTCACCCTGCTTCGAACCTGCAGCAGAAAAGAGGTCTACAGTGCATCCAGGGGACCCCCTCGTGGACCCTCCAGCACCCAGGCCTCCCAGTACCTTCCAGGCATCCCCGATGGCTGGAGAAGCCACCCTGGAACTGGATCTGCAGCTGGGAGACACGGACTCGCTGGGGAAACTTGAGTGTCACCCACTGGGAGGGGCCCTGGAGGCAGATAGGGAAACAGGCCCACGATCACTCCCTGTCGGAGCCCTGTTCTACTCATTTCTCTTTCCCAAGAGAGAGGAGCGGATTCAGCACATGGCGCTCAGGCAGGCTGTGGCTCCCCGGAGCGCTGAACCTGCTTCACCCACGGGACGGAGGGTCCCGGAAGGCGCTCACCTGGTCCGAGGTCCAGCACGTCTCCTCGTCTTGGTCAAACAGGTGCTTCTTCCCAAACTGCCTGGTGTTGCGATTCAGCACCGAGCTCACCCTGCAGGCACCGAGATCAAGATGAGGAGGAGCTGGGCGGGGCTCCCCAGTCGCGGACCGGACCCTCACCTTGCCCTCACCTGCTCTCGGTCTCGGGACAAACCAAAGAGTGGGTCATCTCGGCTCCAAGCCAAGGTTATGATGTTCGGATCCGGCCGCCACCTTGAGGCCTCCCTGGCCACGGCCCAGGCCTATACGTCCCGATCTGGAACGAAGGACCCAAAGTCACCCTTCACCAGCCCAAGTCCTACTCGTGGCCCTGATCACCCCCTGGGTGGAAAACTTGGAGACCTGGCGGAGCAGCCCAGGGCCGAGCTGCGGAGAAACACTTTTCACAGCAGGTGCAGAAAAGGACAACAGGGTGCCCGCGCCAGCCGCTGTTCCCGATCAGAGCCTCAGTCTCTCTGCCGAGAACGCTGGAAGCTGAAGACTGAGACCCGGAAACGCGTGGGCGGGGCGCATGCGCTAGTGACCCAGGCCACGCCCCTTCGCTCCCCCTCCTTAAAGGGCCCGCATCCTGTGATGGACGTTCTCTTGGAGCTCCGTGAATGCAAGCTGCGCATCGCTAGGCACTGTCCTTACGGAGCTCGAGGTTATAATGCGTTGGGTTCGAAGTCTCACAGACTTGCTGTTATTATTGGGGGACATCTGGTGAATCCGTTTCCTAACTGCTAACCCAGCCCGGGATCCTGCATCTGACTGCCTCACAGGCCAAAGGAAGAGTTGAGGAAGAGGCCAGGATGTTGGATCAGCAGAAGTCCTCATTAGCTCCTTGTGTCTAGGCTGCAACCCCAGAGGCCTGGCCTCCACATCTGTCTTCCCAGCAAATGCTGTTGAAGACGTTAGGGAAAGACTATATGAAGTGGGTTTTGAAGGATAAACAGGAGTTTGGTAAACCTGAAAGACGTAGATAGCCAACTAAACACTTGTGCCCAGCCCTATGCTGATGGATGCTGGGATTTGAGAGGCCTCAGTTCGAGCCTCATTTTAGGGCATCCCCAATCTGGACCAGTATCATGGCAGGGTGGGGCTGTAGGGAACAGGGACTCTGCCTGGAGGGAGGGCTTAAGGGGAGGACGTCTTGGGTGGGGAGTGTGTTCCAGGGAATGGGAATGGCACAAAGAAAGGCCATGTCACGAGGGGGCTGGAGCCCCGTTTGGGAAATGGGGGCTTCCTGGCTGAAGCCACTGCTGGCAGGAGACCCTTGGTCCTGGCATTAGTTGAATGGCCTGGGACCAGCCCCTTGCTCCAAGGGCTAGGCAGTGCCCCCTGGCATCCCCCCAGCAGGCTGGCAGGGAAACTGGGTTGCCAACCACTGCCTGCCAGGACTTCCTGCCTCAGCTTCCAGCTGGTGCCATCCAGACTGGCCCCAGGGCCGAGGTGGAGCCGGAAGGAGACTCTGTCTCCTTTCTCACTGGAAGTTAGGAAACACGCCCCAGCTGGAGGGCAGTGCATTACAATCCTGTCCAGACTGAGGTCATGTGACCTTAGACAGGCAGGCAGCTCTCTCTGAGCCTCGTTCCTGCCCTGGGGCACCTCACCTTGACCTGAACCGCAGTGCCTGGCGTGCATTGGGGGTGCACCGTGTGTCTAACTACAGCTCTCACAGCCCCCCTGATAGCTGAGGGCACAGGGACTTGGCTGAGTCCGCCAGCCCATCGAGGAGACGCATCCCCCCAGGGAGCCCCATATTCCCCACCCGGCCCTGGCCAGGGTCCACCTCGCCCACTGGGATGAGGCCAGTTCTCGCCCCCGCCTCCCTGCCCCCTTACCCTCACCCTGCCGGCGCCTGGCATGAAAGAGGCCCTGTTTCTCCAGGGAGTTAGAGGCTCTGGGCTCTGGCAAGGCAGCCAGGAGAGGCGCATTCATCCACCAGAGAAGGAGAGAGGTTGGCGCCCTGCCTCCCCCAACCCACCCTAGGGACGAGGCAGGGGGGCTCTGGAACATCCAGGGGCAGCTCCCCTGGTTCTCTGGGGGAACTGAGTCACCAAAAAGGCAAGTCATTTGGCCAAAGTAGGTGTAATACACAGCCTGTAATACACGCCTGTAATCCCAGCACTTGGGAGGCTGAGGCAGGAGGATCGCTGCAAGTTCCAGGCCACCCTGGGCTACTAGTGAGACCTTGTGTCAAAAAGAAAGAAAAATCATTTAGCTGAGCTCCCTGGAGAGCCCAGCATGCAGGTCTGACTCTGAGTCCCCTCTTCTGGTCTGAGGCTGCCTGTTTCAGGGGAAGCATTGAGGGCACAGAGAGGGTTGGAGATTTCCTGAAGTCACACAGCAAGTTTGATTCCACAGAGACAGCCTCTGTGCCAGCCACTTCCCGAAGCAGCCCGACCCCCAAGGACCTGAGGCCCACTGTCCGAGCCCAGTGTCCTGGAGCAGCGCAGGGAAACGGCCTCAGCTCCCGGCCTTGGCTGTGTCATGCGGAGGCTGTGGTACTCACCTTGGCAGGACCAGCGAGCTGTTCCCACCGGGGCTGCCCACCCAGCAAGGCCAAGTCCAGAGGATCCACCACCCTGCCTGGACCAGCACAGGTGAGTCAGGCGCGGGCTCGCTGGAGGTCACTGAGTGGCTCAGGTGGCGGGCGTGGGGCTGGCCGGACGTTACCTGGGAGGGCTGTGTTGTCACATGGCCCGTAGGGGTGCCTGTGGGCATGAGCAGCGTGGCAAGCAAGCATGGGCCGAATGTGAAGGGACTCCAGGTGCAGCCAGGCTCACAGCTGTGACTTGTGTGTGGCCAGGATGGCTGTGCACGGGCAGAGGTGGGCATGCCCTGCTGGGCATGGTCCGGTGGGGTTAGGTCGGTCGAATTGGTGTGACTGGCGGCTGGTGGCAGTGGGTGTGACTCCTCCGTGTGTGACCTTGGGTGGGTTCTGAGGCACTTTGAGGGACACCATCTGCCCTGGGACCCGGCTCCCCAGGGAGGCCTGGCCTCCCTCCCACCCCCCTGGCCAGGGCCCCAGACTGGGGGACGAGAAGGCACTGGGCTGGGGGTGGCTCGGTCCCAGGGCGGGCCTGTAAATAGCTCTTTGAGCCCCGCAGATTCCCAGGCAAGGTTGCCCCATTCAAGGCCCCGGCAACGGCCGCCCTGGGCCCTGGGCCAGCCCTTCTCAGCCCAGCCTTGGCACTGGCCTGGGCCCTGGGGGGCAGGGATGCGGACGGGGAGCAGGAGGGGTGGGGGTCGCCTGCAGCTGTGCAGTCATACACCTCGGCTCCCACCTGGTCCCCACCCCAGCTGTGTTCCCTCAGGCAGGCAGGTGATCCCCTCTCCCCAGCCTCAGTGTACCCAGTAACCTTGGAAACGGGCATGGGTGCCATAGCAGTGCCCACATAAGGCTTCGCTTCTAGTTCATTCTCCTAGCAACTGGCAACGCGGGGAGCAGTAACTATCCTCAGTGTCAGTGGGGAAACAGAGGCACAGGGAGACAAAATGGTGCGTTCGGAGTACGGGGAGCGTGTGTGAACCCCACAGATGCTGAGCTGCTTGCTGGGTTCCCACGCATGCGCATCACACATGCAGGCTCAGCCACCACCCTCTCCCTCATCCAGCCTCCCCCACAGGTGGGACATGGCTGTCATCCACGGACACACCCCAGCCAGGCCCAGTTGGTGTGGCTCCCCACAGTGCCCCCCTCTGGCTCAGCCCTTGCTCCCCTAGGGTCCTCCCCCAGCCCCCCTTCAGTCCTTCCCTCTCTCTGGTTCAGTTTTTTTTTGGTACTGGGGATCAAACTTGGGTCCTTGGCTTGTGAGGCAGGCGGCAGAACCACTGAGCTAAATCCCTGGCCCTCTGTGTTTTAGTTTTTGAGACCGGGTCTCACTATGGAGCCCAGACTGGCCTCAGACTTCCCACAATCCTGCTTCAGCCTTCCGAGCACTGGGATTACAGACATGTACCACCACACCAGGCTCTTTTTTGTGCAGAGCTGGAGATGGAACTCAGGACCTTGCACTGGCTTGGCGGGCATTCTGCCACTGAGCCACATCTCCACCCCTCTATCTTATTTTGAGACAAGGTCTCACTAAGTTGCCCAGTACAGGCTTAAACTTGTGGTCCTCCTGCCTCAGCCTCCTGAGGAGCTGGGGTCACAAACACATACCTCCGCTCTTTGATAATCTGGGGAGACTGTCTCACCTCTCCCACCCTGCTTGTGTGTCTTCCCCCCAGACTGAGACCTGCCTCAGATACTCAAAGAAGAAGTGGGCTGAGTGGTTTTTTTCCTTTTTGTGCTGGAGACGGAGCCCAGGCATCACAAATGCTGAACACACTCTGTCTCACTGAGCTCCACCCACAGCCCCAAAATTACCATTTTAAAGTGTGCAATTCAAGGGGCTCAAGTACATTTACATTATTGTGCAACCACAGCCTCTGTCTGGTTCAGAATAATGCCTTCACCCCAAAAGGAAGTGCGATGCCCATGAGCTGTCCCTCCCCAGCCCTTCCCCTCAGCCCCAGCAGCTACCAATCCACTTCCTATCACTGGATTCACCTGTGCTTGCCTTCAATGTTCATCCCCCTTGTGGCACAGGTCAGACCTGTGCTCCTTTTTAATGGCTGAATAATATTCCACCATATAGATCCTGGCTTTGATTTTTTAAATTAATTAACTTACTTTGAGACAGGATCTGACTATGTAGGCCAAGCTGGCCTGGAACTCACAGCAATCCTCCTGCCTCAACCCCTGAGTGCTAGGATTACAGGCATGCATCACTATGCCCAACATGGATTCAGCCTTTTATTTTCATTTTTTTGGTACCAGGGATCAAACTCGGGTCCTTGCACTTGCACAGCAGGTGGCGAAACCACTGAGCTAAATCCCCAGCCCAGATTCAGCCTTTTTTTTTTTGGTACCAGGGATTGAACTCAGGTCCTTGCCCTTGGGCAGCAGG